CCCCTCCCCCACTCTGTTCCCCCAGTGGAACATCAGAAGCTGTGACTTGTGTCTCTGTTCACTGACCTGTGTTCAGCATCTAGCAATATAATCTCTCAAACACACCAAAGGGCCTGGATGACAGTGCTGCCCTGTTACAGGACGACCACAAACCCTGTGTGTTCATCATGAACTCCGCGCCTCAGGCCCTGCGGGGACTGCTTGGCTGCACCCTGCCATCTTCTTCCACGTCTTCCCTCACGGGAGCCATCACTGGCTCTGGTGAGTTATACCGCCTAACTCGTACGTAGGTCCTCCCTCCCATCCTGTTTCATCTCACCCCCTTACTGACTCTGCAGTGACTTCCCATCCAGCCTTCCTGCCCCCTCCCCTTCCCCAATCAATCTCTGACATAACCGCCTCGTGGATTCTTTTTTGTTGTTTGATAAGTATATAAAGTCAACGTGAAACACATATGAAGCTGCAGCAGCCTCATTTTTTTTTTCTTTTCTTTGTTTCACTTGAAACAGTTCAAGTTTACAAAAGTTAAAAGAATAAATTACCCATGGGCTCTTCACCAGCTCGCTAGCAAGGTGTTGCATTTGCTCAGCTGCCCTACCCATAAGCACGCGCGTGCATGCACGCTTTGAAGTTGCAGGCACTGTGCGTGGGACATCACCCCTTAATATTTCAGCACGCCTCTTTTAGAATTTTTTTGCTTGTTTGTTTGGTTTTCGAGACAGGGTTTCTCTGTGTAGCCCTGGCTGTCCTGGAACTCTCTCTGTAGACCAGGCTGGCCTTGAATTCACAGAGATCCTCCTGCCTCTACCTCCCAAGTATTGGGATTAAAGGCCTGTGCCACCGTGCCTGGCTCAGCATGACTCTTGTAAAAAAATGAGGGTAGGGTAAGGACTGGGGAAATGGTTCTGTGGTTACGAGTGCTGGCCACACAAGCGTGTAGGTCTGAGTTCAACTCCCTAGCACCTACATAAAAAGCCAGGCACGTCCATGTGTGCCTATAACTCCAGTGTATGGGAACAGAGAGAGAACAAGCCTAAGACATCCTCCTACAGAACCAAAATGCCATGACCACATCTAAGAAAAATAACACTAATAGCATCACCCAATAAGCAGTCCATACTCAACTTCCTCTGTTCCGAGCTGGTGTTCTATAGTGTGGCTTTCTGTCTTTAGTGGCTTTTACTCGTAACTGGTGCCATTCCCACTTTTTCATTTGTCACAACTCTGACAATTTTAGTGTGCTTTAGAACTGTACTGGGTAGATGGAGACAGTGTGGCTAAGCGGTGCATAGGTGCGGCTATATCGGGGAAATAACATGTAACATCTGATAACATGGGGTAACTTCAGCTGACAGCACACAGTTGTACATAGCTAATGATCTCAAACATTTCCAATACGTAGAAACAAGGTAAGCCGGCCGTGATGGTGCACACCTTTAATCCCGGCACTTGGGAGGCAGAGGCAGGTGGATCTCTGTGAGCTTGAGGTTAGCCTGGTCTACAGAGTGAGTTCCAGGACAGCTGGGGCTACACAGAAAAAAACCTGTCTCGGAAAAAAAAAAAAAAAAGAAAAGAAAAGATTTTTGATTGATGTGATAGAATACCAATTTAGCCAGCTAATCACTTTACACATGAATCGAAACATCACACTGTACCTTGTAAAAATACACAGTTATCTGTCAGTTTTAAAAATTAGCCTACCTCCCCTGCTAACTCTGAGCATTCCATTCTTGCTTAAGCCCCTCATGGGTACCACCGAAAATTAAGGTGAATCAACTCCACTGACTGTCACACCTCTGGCCATGCTGAACAGCTCATGATTAGGGTCCACCAGTCAGCCTATCCACACCCAACTCTACGGTTTCTTGTCCTCAGCCTAACTCAGGCGGCATCTCTGCCCGGAAGGCTTTTTCCTCGCCTCCTTCAGGCCGTGAGTGCCTTGCCTGGTGTTCTCCCGGTATCCATCGGTGAACTCTCCATACGGTTTTCTTTCTTTTGTTTTCCCTTTTGGTTTTCAAGACGGGGTTTCTCTGTGTAGCCCTGGCTGTCCTGGAACTCACTCTGTAGCCTAGGCTGGCCTCGAACTCACAGAGATCTGCCTGCTTCTGCCTCCAGAGTGCTGGGATTAAAGGTGTGCGCCACCAGTGCTCCCAGCCTCCAAACTGTTTTCTGAAGTCATGCTGTGCCTGTCTCCTTTCATGATGGCCGAGGACAGGAGTGTGACACCCCTCTGGGTCTGCCTGTCCTGTCCCAAGGATAGTGTGAAAGAACAACAGGACAGAGAAAGCAAGGGAGAGAGGCTCTGGTTGCTCTGCTTGTCACCCCCTGAAAGAAAGGAGTCAGCTCATCAAAGATAAGCCAATGGTCCCATTCCAAGGATGGAGGCAGAGGGTTCTGGACAGGAAGTCCCTCAACTTTCACCTCTATAAGCTTTTCTAGGCTGACCGACTTCCGAGTCACTGTTTCTGTGGTAATAACAGTCCACTCTCTAGTGTAGAAAAGCCTGTTGGCCTGTCTTCAGACAGTCAGAGTTGGGAGTTAGTAAATGTCAATGATGGAACAAGGAATTCCCAAAGCAAGGTGCTGAACAGTGACAGCTTCAAAGAGGAAAAAAAAAAGAGAGAGAGAGAGAGAGCAGAGGGCTCAGGCGTAGAGAGCTAGGCTAGACGTGAGGAAAGATGGAGCGTGTTCAGAGCACCACCCCTGAGGACGCTGCAGGGCGGCTGCTCTGGACCCGAGAAGAGTGCTTTCAGACCAAGTAGTCGCCAAGGAGCTCAACTCTGCCTTGGAAGAAAAGGCGGGACGAAAAAGGCCTCAAAATTCAGAGCCCCAAAGACTTATTTTACATGTCAGCTCTAATGAGTTGGTAGAGGAGTTGGAGATTGCTAAATGAAGGAGACTTCTAAAGCCATCACCAGGCTCTTGTTTTAAAAGGGTAGAGACGATGACTGATTAATCGGATCTGCCCTGGGTGCAGGTGAGCTGGGAAAGATCTGGTAGTGCACAGGTGGAAGGGAAATAAAGGCAAAAGTGCCCAAAAGCCGTTGCTGAATGATTTAAATATAGGAGGTTGTGTTCAATGCTGGGAGTAGAAATACCATGAGCGCTGTAGCCGAACAAGGGATGCCTTCAGTGATGTAAACACCTCCCACAAGGCATCATCCCTCCTGAAATCACTCCTATACCAACTCCCAAAACTGACGTAAGGATCAAGTCTTATGCACTTGAACGTTTGGATCTGAACTACAAACCATATCCAAACCATAGCAATAGGGGAGGAAGAACAAGGCAATCCCTTGCATGCTCATCGAGAGACCCCTTGCGTGCTCACCGGGCGACCCCTTGCACGCTCACCAGCAGTGCTAAGAGACAGGGCTTCATAATAGGAGCCAAAATGAAGACACGCGTGATCAGAACAGCAGACCCCAGAGCGTGCTCCAAGCAACGTTCACTGACATGATAAAATGGCTCAACTTTGGGAACGACTGTGCTAAATGCCCACTCTTAACTGATAGTCTTTGTTGTGACATTTCTCAGGACATTTAAAGTGTTCTTCTACCTTTGGGCCCGTCAGTCAGGGGTTTGTGGAGCTCCTTTCCGGTGGGACTGTGTCTTTCTGAACAGTCTTTGGAAAACTCTGACATTAAAGCAGCGATGTAAGAAACGGAGTTCCTTGGGAATAAGAAATGAGAATCGTGGTTTAATAACTACGCCTTTGTCTCCAAGAGGAAAGATGAAGCGCAAAGACGGAGGGGAGGAGAGCGAGCTGGGGGTAGGGATTTGAGGGGAGGAGTGGAGAAAGCAGGGTCCTGGGGAGAAGACATGGTGGGAGACCAGGAGAACCTGAAGCCACCAGAATGTCAGAGGAAGAACGCATCAAGACAGGGACCTGCCCGGTGCAGGATGTATGGTCGCTCCGGTCCCCAGCACCGTCACCCGCAGCTCTGCCAGGGAAGCGGGGCACCCCGTGTGTCACACATGACATTATATCACTTTATTTCCACTTTACAGACGAGGAAAAGCAGGCACGTGCAAAGTGATGTGACCAGAGTCAAGCTTATAAAGCTCCTCCCGGGCACACAGCTCACGCTGTCACTACTGGAGGGCGCAGCTCTGTTGTTGGCTGTATCAGAGGGAGGACTCGAATTCCGTTATGTAACACAAACAGGATACTGCACCGAAGTGCAATACCAAAACATTTCGAGAAAAATGAAAAGCCAAGACCAACCCACCAGCGTCACACCGGCTACCGGGCTGCATGGGCCAACCCCTGCAGGACTGATGTCCACAGCACATTCAGGCATTTAGACAGAATCTATGTTCTCTCTCTTTTCAAACGCTGTGCTTACTATCTCGTCTTAACTTCTAGCACAGATTACCTGTGACTTATCTATGGACTTATCTGAGATATTGCATGTACTGCTACAGAGAACATAAGACAGTTTTGGGATGCTAAAGCAAACAGCAAACACCGTGACTCTTGTGCTACAACAAAATCACAGAACCCTACGGTTGCCAGCTCTCTTACTGGGTATGGAGGCCCCAAAAGAGTTTCTGAGGACAGATTCCAAAAACATGAATCATAACTCAGTTAAGTCATTTTGGCTCCAGAAACAGACTCACGTTAAACGCTAACATTGATCTCTGTCCTATCTAACTCCTGATGCCCATCCTTAAAATCCAATGCAAACAAAGAAAAACAAACAAATAATCACGCTATTAGGGGCGGGGTGGGAGGATGGGGATAAACTCTCCTCCGCAAAAGCAGCCCAAGATGTGAAAAGTTTGTACACTCAACATCATGGATTTGTCGTGATAGCAAAGCTTCCGTTAGGATGCTACCATTTCAAAGCAGGGGGCTTCTGGAGGCTAACTCTGTGGATCGGGCAGTTTGAAGCCTCTGATGTACACATCTTTGAGTCCACAGCAAAATAAACAAGCGCTGTAGATAGAGGAGGCGAAATAGAGAGAGTACCTGGCTCGCAAATTGCTCTATTTACCTGATGGCTGGTGAGGGAGGCTTTGGGTTCCTTGGTCCAGAACCCAGGCAGGGCGGAGCGTTCAAATTGCCGCTGGCCTCGCAGGGGCTGCTGAGCTTCGCTCCTGCTGCTTCTAAGAGCCCATTGGAAATCCCTAGGGGCCCGGGGAGCCCCGAGGCCAATACACAGTTTCCAAGAGAGTGTGCCTCGGCTGTCCACACCCACCTCCGCTTGCGTTGACTTTGAATGGCTCGGGTTTCTTCCACTCCTCCTTCCCTGGCTGGGAATCCGAGCCTTGTGCCCAGAGGCTGCTCCTGAAACCTCTTCCAGATGTGCTCCCAAGGCAGGGCAGGCTGGCTAGCTGGCGCGGACTTCCTCTCTCAGCTTTCTCTTGCAGTCTGTGTGCGAAACTCTCTCCAAAACGAGACTGTTCTGGAGTAAAAGATTCAAACCCAGGGAAAAGCAAATGCTTGGAAAGAGAATTTATTCCATGATGTGTCTTATGTAAATTTCAAGAGAAAGCAACAGTCAGGCTAGAGCCGAGAATCTTTTAAATATCCTGGACATTGCAATGTTGCTATGGCAAATCAAGACGCAGACAACTGCGGTCTTCTACAGAGGCTGCGATAAAGACAGACGCTTCCAGACAGAGTGCATTTCTGCCCGAAGTGGAGAGGAATCAGGCAGGGAGAGGGCAGACTTGGTCCCAATCTCTGCGCTCTGTAGTTTTGCAGGTGGTGATCCCCAGAAACCCAGGAATGGTACCAGCGCTTTGCCCAGGATCACGGAACATATTCCACAACAGCCCCTCTCGGCTGCCGTAAAGAGGTCCTTGCTGGCTGCCTCCGTCGCAAGCGGTCCTTTCCTTCATAAATATAATGCAACTCACACTGTAACTTCAAATTTCCAAGACTCCTCAGTAAGAACCGCGGTGGGAATGGAGTGGGGGGTGGAGTGGGATGCCTGTAATCCTTGGGCGATAGAGACCGTAGGGGTCAGGAGTTCAAGTCCAGCACAGGCTACATGAGACCTTGCCTCAAAAATAAATAGATACATAAACAAATAAATAAAAGTTAAAAAGGATCATCCATATTAATAAAAGTATATATAAATATAAATATAAATATAAATATAAATATAAATATAAATATAAATATAAGTATTTATATATATAAAAGTTTATTTTAAGCCGGGCGGTGGTGGCGCACGCCTTTAATCCCAGCACTTGGGAGGCAGAGCCAGGCGGATCTCTGTGAGTTCGAGGCCAGCCTGGGCTACCAAGTGAGTCCCAGGAAAGGCGCAAAGCTACACAGAGAAACCCTGTCTCAAAAAAAAAAAAAGTTTATTTTAATGATGTTTCTTACTTTACTCAATGTACACAAAAATTTTAACCAACAAGTAGTATCAAATATGTAAAAGACACCTTTTTTTTTTGGTTTTTCGAGACAGGGTTTCTCTGTGTAGCTTTGCGCCTTTCCTGGAACTCACTTGGTAGCCCAGGCTGGCCTCGAACTCACAGAGATCCGCCTGGCTCTGCCTCCCGAGTGCTGGGATTAAAGGCGTGCGCCACCACCGCCCGGCCAAGACACGGTATTTTTTAAAACATTATTTTTACTAGGTCTTTGAAATCTGGCATGGATTTTGCATTTTCAGCAATCTCACTTCGACATTAAATTTTTTAATATACATTTAGATTTCACAAACTGAACAGTAGAACACGGGATGGGCGTGGCAGTGTGGGCCTGTAATCCCAGCTACTGGGAGGCTGAGACAGGAGGATTGCTTGCTAAAGGCATCTGGGATTCAGTGAGAGTTTGAGGCCAACCTGGGGAACTTAGTGACTCAAACCAAAGTAGAAAACAGGATGGGTAGAGTGTTTCTCCAGTATGGACAGGGCCATAAATTTAATCCCTAACTGGAGTCTTATATCCCACGCTGTTTTAAATATACCTAAAATAATTCTAACAGCTAAGTGTAGTATTCATTTTTCCACTCAAAGGAATGAAAATTTAGTAAAATTTAAGATTCAGTTCTCCAGCTTCACTAATTATGTTGAAATACCCCTAAGCCACGTGGCTGGTGGCTACGGGTTGGATTATTGACATTCCTGAGGATTAAGTATTTTCTGGACTTAGAGATGGAGAAGCAGTGTTTTGAATATCTTTCAATCACATGGAACTCGGAACACTGACAAAACAGATCCATGGCTTCTGCTTCGTTTTGTTCCCAGCGTTTGTGCTGGTAAACTGAATTTCTCTCCACCTTTCAGATGAGCAAGCTGAGGCTGTAGGGGAGATAAAGTCCAGTGTAGCAAAGTAATTTAGTGCTGAAGCTGGGATTCCTGGTGGACACGCCTCAACTATCTCCTTTTGCTTTGTTTTTGAGTCAAGGTCTCACTATGTAGCCCTGGATAGCCAGGAACTCATTATGTATGCTAGGCTGGACTCCAACTCACAGAGATACACCTGCCTCTACCTCTTAAGGGCCGAATTAAATGTGTGAACTGCCATACCTGGTTTTTAAATTCTTTCATCCTTCTCTTCTGCAGTATTTCTTGAGCCCTGTGGGGAGAGGAAGAATGATGCAGATGTCCTGCTTAGGACGGAGCACTCAAGAGCAGTTGTAATGGCTATATTGTTTGGAGAGACTCTGGACTCCTCCTAACAACTCTAGGGAGGTATCCCATGGCTGGCACTGGGATTTTCATTGACAACCCAGCCTTCTGGGAGCAGCATTATCCACTCATGGGGGTAGCAGATGTTGTAGAGTGGTCCTCAGACATGTCCTAAGGCAGCTCGGCAGGCAGAACCTTAAGCTGATGCCCGTCAGGTCACTTCATACCAAGGTCACCTCATCTTCAGCTCTTATCTACTTAGGAGAATGTTTGATCAGTCTGCTGTTGAATAAGCGGATGATACCCACTCAAAAGTGAGCTTCAAAACTGGAATAATAACTGCCTTCACAGGACCTAGTTACTACTCCTATTAACTGAAATCTCTCTGATCATTATTTTTGGACCCTTTCTCCTGATCCCTAATGTCTCTAACTCCAGCTCCTTTCCCTTCTATTCCCGCTGTGCCATGCTTTGAGGATACAAGCGCTTTCTTATCTATGGCCAACATTTCCATGTTGTATTCATGGATTCCTCCTTATGAAATAAATGAGATGGGAAAGAGATACAGTGACGTGTTAATGGTGCATTGGCACCCAATGTGGACTTGGAGCTCAGTTGTTATTTTTACATATTATTGCACGTTTTCAGTTTCTCCACCTATTAGGAGTTCTGTTAGGAGAGGCCTAACAGAACTGAGGGCTGAAATGTATCATGCATGCGAGGCGGTGGTAGCACACATCTTTAATCCCAGCACTCAGGAGGCAGAGGCAGGCGGATCTCTGATTGGAGGACAGCCTGGTCTACAGAGTGAGATCTAGTACAGCCAGGGCTACACAGAGAAACCCTGTCTTGAAGAACAAAAACAAACAAACAAACAAACATGATTTTACATTATGTATATAAAATACTCAGAAAAGTCTGATAAATGGAAATTAGTATTGTTGGTGCTTTCAAATCATACTTAAATGGAAATTTAATGATAGTATTTAGCTAATTTAATTTAGCAATAGTTTTACATTTATGTTATGTTGTTATGTTAATTGATAAAGACTGAATATATTCAAGATATGTATCATGACCTGATACATACACAGACACAAACTACGTACTGATTACCAAGTCAACACATCACCATTTATGTTGTACATTAGATTCCCAGACTCTGATCATCTTACACCTATAAGTGTGTACCCTTTGACAAACATCTACCTATTTTCTCTACTTTCCTGTCCCACCCCTGGCAACCATTATTCTACTCTCAGTTTCTTTAACTTCGACATTTTTAGATTCTCTAAATAAGCTTTTTTGTTTGTTCATTTGTTTTCTTTGAGACAGGGTTTCTCTGTGTAGCGCTGGCTGTCCTGGAACTCACAGTGATCCACCTACCTCTGCCTCCCGAGTGCTGGTATTAATGGAGTGCACCACCACCACCCAGGCTATAAGCTTTTATAGTATTTATCTCTCTTTGTTTGGCTTATTTCACTTAACAAATTGTTAAGGTTCATCCATGTTGCTCCAAATGTCAGGATCTTCTTCTTTTTATGGCTGAGTAATAGTCCAGTATACATATGAACCACAATTTCTGTGTCCTGCCATCTATTATTGGACACTTGGATTGTCTCCATAGCTTGGCCATTGTGAGCAGTCTTCCAATGAGTACAGGGACACAGCTGTCTCTTCAAGGGATGGGTGAAGTAGAAGAGTGCTTGCTTAACAGATGTGAGGCGTTCAGTTAAAAACCAGAACCAGAACCAAAACAGGCATTCACTGAGATACTGATTTCATTTCCTTTGGATGTATATCCAGAATTGGGGTGGCTAGATCATACTGTAATTTTATTTTCAAATTTTAAAACGTTATTTATTTAGTGTGTACACGTGTGTGTGTGCATGCTCATGCATCCTACAATGCACATGTAGACATCAGTTGGTAACTTGTGGGAGTAGTCAGTTCTCTCCTTCCACCATGAGGGTTCCGGGGATCAAACTCCTGTCATTAGGCCTAGTGGCAGGTCCCTTTACCCACTGAGCCATCTTGCCAATCCTCTGTTTTTAACATTTTTTTGAGAGACATCCATACTATTTTCCATAGTACTTGTACCAATTTTATCATTGATATTGAATAAAGAAACCCTAAGATAGGAAATAGGAAAAGAATTACAGCAGTAAGTTATTTGTAACTTTGTACAAATGTGCTGACTGCTTTGCCTCATGATTTAGTTCTTCTCTACTTTATTCCTTCCAATGGAAACTATGAATATCTTACCTGGACAGCAATGTCTGTAGTTAAAATGCCTCTGTGGTGTTCTGCAGCTAAGGGAAGCATTCCAGTGGAAGTCACTGTCTGGAACTTCCTAGAAAGCTCCTGTTCTTCTGGCAAAGGACCATTTGGAGCCTTGCCTTTTCTTCCTGTCTGAAATCCAACCTTGATGCTGGAAGAGGAGCGGCCACTTTTCCTTTCCGAGGATCAAAGGCCCACAGTGCTGCAGATGGCCATCCAAGCTGTGCTCAGAGATTACGGTTGAGTGGGTCAGCGTCCTGATGGGACACAGATGGCTCACTACAATCTAGGAACGTCGGAGATCTTTAAAAAGCGCTGCTGCTCTATGTGGTGGAGCATATCTTTAATCCAGCACTCAGGAGGCAGAGGCAGGCTGATCTCTGTGAGTTCAAGGACAGCTCGGTCTACAAAATAAGTTCCAGGGTAGCCAGGGGTACACCGAGAGACCCCATCTCAAAAGAAATAAGTAAGTAAATATAAATGAATGAATGAATTAAAAAGGACATTGTTTGAAAGTGTAGTTAGGGATAGGGACATGAAGAGAGTGCACAGCACCCTGGGCTTGGCAATAACCGGGAGCCCCCACCACCACTCTTAGACTGTTTCTCAGTTTTTTGTTTTTTGTTTTTTTTTTGGTTTTTTTTTGGTTTTTCGAGACAGGGTTTCTCTGTGTAGCTTTGCGCCTTTCCTGGATCTCGCGCTGTAGACCAGGCTGGCCTCGAACTCACAGAGATCCGCCTGCCTCTGCCTCCCGAGTGCTGGGATTAAAGGCGTGCGCCACCACCCCGCCCGGCTGTTTCTCAGTTTTTTTAAAATAAATGTTGAAAAGAAAATCATTGGGTTGGAGTGATTGCTCAGTGGTTAGAGCACTTCTTGCTCTTACAGAGTTCGATTCCCGGCACCCTCATTGACAGCTTACAACTACCTAGAACTCCAGCTTTAGGGGATCTGATGCTCTTTTCTGGCCTCTGAGGGTACCTGCACACACATACACTAAAAAAAAATCTTAAAAAATAAGAAAATAATAATTATTCTAATAAATAGGTAGGCTATATCACACCATATAGCCCAGTTATAACCTATATCATCTAGGTATGCTCAAGTATTCTCTATGATATCATACATAATATTACTTCACACCATTTACTTAATGATGCATTTATTTCAGGACTTAGGTTCATGGCTAAACATGATAATCTCTGCCCTTCATGTGCACTTTTAATCTGTAGTACCATTTATCATTAAACTATGTATCTTTTAGCTGAAAGTCGAACATTTATCATTTCTTCTTGCCAACCAGATCGGCCTTTGCGGAGTCTTTTTAAAAACATCTTAGGAAATATTTTTCAGCAGTTTCAGACCTGCATATGTTTTGGTGATGCTCATGTCCCCATCACCATCACCTTCTTGTGTCCCCTCTCCTCCTGAACCCTTCCTCCTTCCCAAGTAGTCAGCCCCTCTTCTTTTTCCTGTCTTACGTGTGTGTTCCCCTGAACTTAATTAGGGTTGCTTATGACTATGAGTAGGAGGCTTTTATGAACTCACCAAAGCTGTGGTTACACCTGCATAAGACCTGCAGAGGACCTGCCAATATGCCTTCATGGATGGTGGGGGTAGAGGACGAAATCCACCCCTCCCTAAGGAGCTGTTGGCAGTTAATGGGTGAAATAGTGTCTCCTAAGGCCAATGAAGGAAGGAAGTATTTTGTAGTAGCCAATGAATCACTACATGGGTCAAGCTGATTTTTTTTTTCTTTTTGTCTCTCATGGCCGGCATCCAAGATCACACACAGCAGGCAGAAACAACAATGGACACTCAATCCCTCTTGCTCAATGGACCTCAGTAGTGGGTTATCACCTTGGCAGCCTGAGCTTCAGGGCTCTGGGCTCTTTTCTGCTACTTGCTGAGGGGGTAACATTGGGGTCTGCACCCGAGTCTTGGCACTGGGTTTCCCTGTTTCTCCCGTGCTCTTGAGTCCCTGCTCTGGTAACTCAGTTAAAACCCACAGGGCCTAGAGCTCGGCCTTGCTCTTCCCTCTGCCTTCTCCATGTCCTGAGCCTAGGAGCTGTACACAGATGTCTCAGCCACTCTGCTTCCCTCATCCTGAGAACAGTGCCTGTACCTGCTCGGACGCTGCTCTTGAGCCCACCTGCTAGCATTCCCCAGAACATAAAACCTTGGCCTGAGTCCTCAACTGAGCCCTTGTGGATTACACTCAGCTCTCTGCCACCCTTGGGCACTAGTCTCTGGCTCTACAACTGACTCTCCAATGCCCTGTAGCTAAGGAAGAGGATTGGAAACGGTAGTAATATGATGATGATAGAAATTATAATCTTACTGAATGACCACCATGTGCCGGACGGACATTGCCCGAGTACGGCACATGTTCTTGCTTTCCTGGCAACAGTTCAAAAGAATACTAGACTGCCGATGTTCTCTGTGCCTCCTCACTTGTTACTCACTCCTCTGTTCTCTCTGGCTTCTCCTCCTCCACTGAAAGTGGCTTGCACTAGGCATTTGTAAATCCAACAGACAGTTCCTCCTCCTACCTGAACTCGGAATGGCTTTGGAAGGAAACGGAACACAATAGTCGAGGACGAGGAGGTCAAAAGGGAACTTGGTGAGGGCTGATATTTAAAGGAAGCCACAGGCGAAGGGAGCTTCGTGAAGGTGGAAGTGGTTTTCAAAGCCAAACCCATTGAACAAGTCCCCAGTTCCCGTTTCCACGTCTGTTATAACCTTTAAAATGCTGTCTTCTTGGGGGACATCACTAGCCCTCCTTCTTCGATACCCTTTCTAATCTTTCCTCCTAGATGGTGCCTACACTGGTGTTCTGTCCTGCTGACACCCTGGTTCTGGAATTCTGTTCTCTAGAACTGTGAGACAATTCTGACAATTCTACTAGGTTTTGTTTGTTTTTTCAAGACAGTTCTTCCGTGTGGCCCTGGCTGTCCTGGAACTCGTTCTCTAGACTAGGCTGGCCTCGAAGTCAGAATTCAGGGATCTGCCTGCCTCTGCCTCCTGAGTGCTGAGATTAAAGACGTGGGCCACCATCGCCTGGCTCTACTGTTTTGATTCTTTTTAAAGAATTTATTTTATGAGTATTTTGCCTGGAGGTATGTCTATGAACCACAGGTATGGCTGGTGCCTGTGGTGGCCAGAAGAGGGCGTCAGAACCCTTGGAACAGGGGTTCCAGATGGTTGTGAGCGGCTCTGTGGGTGTTGGTAATCAAACCCAGGTTCTACTTTTTATTTTCTTTGTTATATTTTTGGAGATAGGGTCTCTCTACAAAGCCCTGGCTGTCCTGGAACTCACTATGTAGACCAGGCTGGCCTCAAACTCACAGAAATCTGCCTTTCTCTGCCTCCTGAGTGCTGTTCAACTATTTTAAGCCACTAGGTACTTGGATGTAGCAGGCCTGGGAAACAGGCTCTCTCCTAATTAACACTGGGTTTTCGACTTTTAATTCCCCCTTAAGTCTTTTTTTTTTTTTGGTTTTTCGAGACAGGGTTTCTCTGTGTAGCTTTGTGCCTTTCCTGGAACTCACTTGGTAGCCCAGGCTGGCCTCGAACTCACAAAGATCCGCCTGCCTCTGCCTCCCGAGTGCTGGGATTAAAGGCGTGCGCCACCACCGCCCGGCCCCCTTAAGTCTTTTTGTCTAAGAATATTAACAACAACAAGAATCTATCATATAATTGTTGTTGGTTGTTTTTGCTTTTGGGGGGGGGCCCACCACCCATCTCCCAAATAAATCACACATAGAGGCTTTTTTTTTTGAGGGGGGATGGGTTGAGACAGTGTTTCTCTGTGTAGTTTGTGTAGTTTTGGTGCCTGCCCAGGATCTCGCTTTGTAGACCAGGCTGGGCTCAAACTCACAGAGATCCGCCTGGCTCCGCCTGCTGGGATTAAAGGCGTGTGCCACCACCGCCCGGCTGACAGTAAGAAGTTTTAATTAAAAATGTAGAGAATTCTCTCTTCAGAAAACTTGGGTGGATGAGAACTTAGAGATACGGTACACTTAGCTTTGAGGGAGGTGAGAGTGTGAGGTAGGTGGATGAGAAATGAAACTGGTAAGAGATGGGAGAAAATGAACTTCAGAAAATGGGCTGCACAGTGTGTGTTCCCTGCAGTATCATCTTGATAACCTGAGACGAGATTTAAATTGCTTTAAGCGTTTGTTTTACTACTTACTTTGTGATCCAGTTTGAACCGAACTGCAAGGTGTTTGGGGATTAAGGGCTGTAAGCGTCTACTGTCGGAGGCAATACATTTAGCGGTTAAGGCTGGAAAGCCATGAACATAGAAGCCTGTTCGAATCCTGCCCCAGGTCATTTTCTGTGTGTACCTGAGCAATTTCCGTAGCCATATGCCTCACTTCCCCAACCACAACGGGGAAGTACCAAACTTCCTGAACAGTTGCAAAGACTGTGTGTTATTATAAAGAAGGTAATTTAGGATGGTGCCTGGGTATGGAAGTACTGTCAGTTGTTAGCTATCGATGACAGCTGTGGTAGTCAATAGTGTCAGCTTGATAGTGATAGTCAATAGTGTCAGCTTGATACTATCTAGGTTTACCTGGGGGCCAAGCCTGTGGGCAGGCCTATGAGGGATTACCTAGGTTAATTAAGATAGGGATAAATGTGAGTGGCACCATTCCCCGGGTTACCATCCTGGACCAAACAATGTGAAAGGCAGCTGGGTTCCAGCATTCGTGGCTCTCTGCAGGTGAAATGTGACCTGCCAAGCCTCCTTCCTTACTATGATGGGCTTCCTTCTCCGTGGGTCAAAATAAATCTCCTCCAACTGTTTTTGTCAGGGTATTTTTTATCACAGCAACAAGACGACTCATACACCTGCTTCAATCAAACGAAAGCCAGTCACCTTGGGGGCTAACTTGGGCTGTCTAGGCCCTGACACCTCCAAATCTGATCGGAGCTGGGGCAGCGCACTTTTTTCTTAGCCACACGGTCCAGGAGCCACGGTCCAGGTCCAGGTCCTGCCATGGGCGGGACCCTGGTGTGAGATGACAGGTTTGCCCGGCGCCTGGGACCTCCACGGCGGCGGCGGCTCTTCTCCAGCGCCCGGCGGCAACAGTTTGCAGGGTGTGCCACGCCCACACGGAAGATGCTCAAAGTGGACTCCAAGGGCCAGGCGGTCCCTCCTCCGCGAACAAGCCCACGGAAAGCCACGGGAGAGGGGCGCGGGAGGCAGGGCCGGTGGGAGGGGCTCCATCCTGGCGGCGCCCCGAGGGCCACGTCGCCACGGACTGGGGGGGGCGGGGCCCGCGGGTCACGTGCCGGGGCCTCCCGCGCGCCCAGCTGGAGGCGGTGCCCGGGCCTCCCCACGAGCCGTGGAGCCCGTCGCGCGCGGGGCATTGTGGGCCGAGGGGCGGGGGTTGGGAAGATGGCGGCTCCCAGCCTCCTCAACTGGAGGCGGGTTTCCTCCTTCACAGGGCCGGTGCCCCGCGCCCGGCACGGACACCGAGCCGTGGCCATCCGGGAGCTGATGATCATCTTCGGCGGGGGCAACGAGGGCATCGCGGACGAGCTGCACGTCTACAACACCGGTAGGCGGCGGCTGGGCGACCCCGCCTCGGGACCGCGGAGGGGGAGGGGAGGCTGCGGCGGACGCGGGCCTGACAGCTGTCACCGCCGGGGGCCGCCGCTTCCTCAGCTCGGCGGTGGGCGGTGGGGTTCGCTCGGCGGGGTCGGCAGCCCGAGCTCGCAAACGTGCTGGAGGGCGGCTCGGTTTCCCCGGGGCCCGTGGGCTGGACCGGTCTCGCCGGCGGACCTCGGGACACCCCGGCCCATCCGTGCCCGTGGACCTGAGTGGACCCGGGTTCCACCGTCGGGCCTCCCCCCCCCCCCCCGCTCCACTCCCCCGGGGGCTGGTCCCTTCGAGGGCCGAGATCCCGCCACTGTCAAAACCAAAACCCACCCCAAGCCGGGCCTCGGCGGTCTTTGCGAGGATCGAGGGGCGGGGAGGCCCTGTGGCCCTTGAGCTGCGGTACTCGGTGTCTGGCGGAAGCCGGCGAGACTTTCTCGGCCGGCCGACCGTTCTCTAACCTGGCGGGGAAGGGACTTGTGGTTGATGTATGTACACGCTCTCGCCAAGAGGACTGTCAGAGCTCAGACACCACTGCAGAGCGCGAAGTGTCGCTGGTCGGGGGGGACGAGCCTTCATTAGAATTTTTTTTTCTCCACTAGTAAATAGTCTAGCCATCATCGGAAACTAGTAAGTCTAGTTGCTGAGTTTGGGGTCGATATATTCCACAACCAACTTTTCTTTGAAACAATTTGATCACAGTAGTCCTCTAAAGGCAAAAATCTGTAGGAGAAATTTCGTTAATTTTGTTCCTCTCTGCTACCCTCCCCAATGGTCCCAACAAGTATTTGATTAGGTATAGTGTAAATACCATGGATTTAGAAGAAGTTACACTTATTTTGACTCTTACTTTGCCAATTGTTCAAAATCAGTGTTAAAGTTACCAAGCCTTTCTAAATCTCAGGTTTTCCACTTCTTTAATGGCGATGACACCCACCAGCATCTTTCTAGGAGTTAAATGGTGAAAATCAGGGTTTTTCAACAGCAGCATTATTGACATTTTGGGACAGGTGATTTTTGGCTGTAGAGGCTTGTGTAAGATAAATGCTGGCATCCTCAGGCTCAACCCACGACTTGGTGTAGCATCTCCTTTCCAGTTGTGACAATTAAATATGATTTTGGACATTGCAAAGTCAGTATCCTTGGAAGAGCAAAAGAACCCTCAGTTGAGAGCTACAGGAATATAGAATGGGTATATGCATGTATGTTTGTATCTATACACATATGTATCAAACTCATGGAATATGTAACTATAATTTGTTATAATTGATCTTAATTTTTTTTCTGACGACTAGTTACAAATCAGTGGTTCCTACCAGCTGTTAGAGGAGACATCCCTCCAGGTTGTGCAGCCCATGGATTTGTCTGTGATGGTACTAGAATACTAGTGTTTGGGGGAATGGTTGAATATGGAAGATACAGCAATGAGTTATATGAGTTGCAAGTAAGTGTATTTCACATTTATTATTTCAGTCTGAAGTGCTAATTAAATTGTTGTGATTTTTTTAAAAAGAGATTACAAAACATTGTATTAGCACAGGTACAGTAACAGATGCTCCACAGTTTATAGCTTCAAAGAAAATGTTTCCGCTTCACTGACAAGTCAAAGTCTCTGATGTCTTTTCTTAGGTCTGGTGTGACCTTTATAGCATAAAGATACCTGACCTTTAGCAATACTTGAACTGTCTCATGTTTAGGTCTCTGTGGGTTAGTACAGTTGTCCGTTAGGCACCCTCGGACTGATGAAAACAGATTGCTGGTCCCGCCCCTGGGTTTTTCGAGTCTTGTCTGTGCTGGGACCTGGACATTTGCGTTTCTACCACCCAGAGCATGCTTTGAAAACTGGTGCCTCAGTGTGAGAAGAATGGTTTCCTTTAACAGTAATAGTAACCCCCACACACAGTCATGCAGAGAGAGGTTACAGTTTCATATAGCCTTTCTAAATTTGATTTGCTTATTAACTGGAGCTCATTCTTGTCGACTGTTCTTGATATGTTCCAAGGGCCATGATCATCAGGGTATCTGCCATTGGCAAATGTGAATGCCAATGTACATATTTCCAAGCAAGCAACCATTTCAAATAGAGAAGATTCTCATGGCTAAAGAATAAATTTTGGAATTTGATTTGTTAAATGAGTTTTATTTATTTAAAGGTTAAATATTTAGCATTCATGGATTACCTAATATATAAAAGATAGCTTTCATGAATTCCATCTAATCTTAAAGTTCTACGTGTAAATACTTATTTTTTTTTCACTTGGAAGAAATTAGAAGTGATAGTATTTAGTATTATTGTAAACTTAGCGTATCATCGTGGAAATCTGTGTATAGAGAAGATTCACTTGAGCGTCTACTAACACGTATGCACACACACCTACAGGCATACATATAGCTTTGTGATACAAGTTTCACATAGTCCAGGCTGCCCTTAAACTTACTCAGTAGCCAGAGATACCTTTCACCTCCTGGTCCTCTTGCCTCACAAATTCTGGAATTACCACAGCCAGCCTTCCCAGGATATACATTTTAATTTCACAAGTTAGCCATAGAGTTACATGCCTTTTATTCTAGCACTTGGGAAGCAGAGGCAGGCAGATATTTTGGAGTTTGAGGCCAGCCTCGAACTGTCCTGGAACTCACTGTGTACAGAGTTCATGGTGAGATCGTGTCTCAACAAACCAGCCAGAAGTTAGCCACTTACTTGTCATCTGGACTCTGAGGCATTGGGATGACGGCTCACTGTTGACAGTACTGAGGTAGAAATGCTTCCTTCTTTCATAGGCATATCTTCTTTTTTCAGGCAAGCCGTTGGCTATGGAAAAAAGTGAAACCCCAGCCTCCTCCTTCGGGTTTACCTCCTTGTCCTCGGCTTGGACATAGTTTCTCTTTGTATGGTAACAAGTGCTATTTGTTTGGTGGTCTGGCAAATGAAAGTGAAGACTCAAATAATAATGTTCCCAGGTATGCTCGTTATAGACCAAGTGCTTATTTTGACTTAGATTAAAATATTTTATCTGGCCGGGCGGTGGTGGCGCACGCCTTTAATCCCAGCACTCGGGAGGCAGAGGCCGGCGGATCTCTGTGAGTTCGAGGCCAGCCTGGGCTACCAAGTGAGATCCAGGAAAGGCGCAAAGCTACACAGAGAAACCCTGTCTCGAAAAACCAAAAAAAAAAAAAAAATATTTTATCTGTAGTTATTATAAGGCTTAGGCTTATATTTTTATATTTGAGACTAACAATAAACACATTTTTTTGGGGGGGTGGTGTTTCAAGACAGGGTTTCTCTGTGTAGCTTTGCACCTTTCCTGGATCTCGCTCTGTAGACCAGGCTGGCCTTGAACTCACAAAGATCCGCTTGCCTCAGCCTCCCGAGTGCTGGGATTAAAAGCGTGCACCACTAACGCCCGGCATACATTTTTATGTATTTGTGTGTTTTTCAGTCCCTAGAGAAGGTTTTCAAACTCTCTTTTCTAATCAGAAATCATCTTATTAAGTTGATACTTGTATAATTGCTTATGCCAATATATTTGTATGTCTTGGGCTATAATTCATATTAAGTGGGTCATGTACAATACCAATTTATTTTAAAATTGGTTTTATCTGAAAACTTGGTGTGAAATGTGGTTATTAAATGAAAGCCATTGTTCTCATACTCCATACGGTCTACTAAGATGTATTACACTAGCAAATACTGTCTGTCCCTTTTTCCAAAGAGAATGAATCACTGTCTCTTTTCCTTTTCCCTTTTCAATATATGTCTTGGTTTTTATTTTTTAATTTTTATTTATTTATTTTTCTAAGATAGGGTTTCCCTGTGTAGACCAGGGTAGCCTGGAACTCAGAGATCCACCTGCCTCTGCATCCCTGAGTGCTTGGATTAAAGGATTAAAGGCGTGTGCCGCCAGGACAGATGTAAGAATTTATCTTTAATTATGTATATATATGTGGGTGTTTGTGTGTGGGTGTATGCCTGTGAGTGTGGATGCCCAGTGAGGCTAGAGGTGTTGGCTCTCCCTGGAGCTGGAGTTCCAGGCGGCTGTGGGCCACCTGACATGGGTGCTGGGCAGCTGAACTCATGCTCTTGGGAGTGTGCTCTTAGTCACTGAGCCATTTCTCCAGTCCCTAAACTTTCAAATTCTATTTTCTAAACTGTTTTTCTCTCTGCCTTTATACTTGAATAAAAAATTAGTAGGAAATTGAATTAGTTGTTACAGAAGTCATTTTGGAATTGGGAGATAGCTCAGCAGGTTAAGCTCTTGTCATGCGAGTGTGAGGACTCTGCGTCTGGATCTCCAGAACCCACATAGAAAGCGAGGTGGGTGTAGTGGCCGTATGTCATTCCAGCGAACAGGAGGCAGGAACAGAAGGGCTCTGGGCAAGACTAGACAAAACAAACCAAGTTCCAGGTTCAGGACAGACTGCCTCAACTCTAAAAGGTAGAGACGACAACCTAATGTCAGCCCTTGGTTATACATGTGTGCACACATGTATGCATACCACATATGCATGCATTTGCAAAAAAGCCAAGTCATTGCAGTAAGAAATATATGTCACTGGAAGGTGGTAGTGCTCACCTTTAATCCCAGCACTCGGGAGGCAGAGCCAGGCTGATCTCTGTGAGTTCGAGGTCAGCCTGGTCTACAGAGTGAGATCCAGGACAGGCACCAAAGCTACACAGAGAAACCCTGTCTCGAACAAACCAAAATATATATGTATGTATGTCACAGATTAATGACAGTTTTTTAAGAACAGAAGCTGTTTAGGACAAGTTTAATGCCAGTTTCTAAATTAAGACACTATTTAGGACATTGCTATGACATTATAGTGTGCTAAAAAGGTTGCAAAGCAGTAAGCATTCCAGATAACAATATCTTCAAGGTATTTGCTGAATTATTGTCCATAGTTACTGTTGGAAATCTAGTGCTGTGTAATAATGATGCAAAGTAGCAACTTTTCTCACGCTCAAACTCTGTTAAGTAAGGAGATCAAATGGCACGAAGGGGATGGCTGAGCCCTTCAGTGGGAAAGCTTGAGTGGTTACCCCACATCGGGCAGTTAACGGAGGTGGCTGACGGACGGTTCAATGGGGCCGTCACCTGACATGCCTGTGTGTAGCTTATTTTGAGACAGGATCTCATAAAGCCCTGGCTGGCTTTGGACTGTGTAACCAAGAACAACCGGACTTCTGATCATTCTGCTATACCTCCTGAGTGCTGAAATTAGAGGCCTCTGCCACCATGTCTGGGATGTTCATTGCTAGAGACTGAAACTAGAGCTTCCTCTGCGCTGGGCAGGTACTCTACCACCTGAGCTGCATACCCAGACCCTTGAGTGGCCTTTTCAGAGCTTGGTGGAGAGTTCCACAAGCAGTATTACAGTAAGAATACATTGGCCTTCACAAGCCAGCCAGGGCACCCTTGTTCAGAGCAGTCCTAGAGCAGCCAACAGTAAAGGGGAGAGGGATCTCATCTGATGGAAAGAGTGTATTTCAGATATTTGGGACTGTGTTTTAAAGCCATCACCATGGTCAGTAACAAGAGTATTGGTAAGATGCTTTCTGTCTTCACTATATATTATGGCAGGTACCTGGGACATAGTCGTTTGATAAATATATATGGGATGAATAAATATATGGAAGTTTTGCTTGCCTAGTGCCTTTCTGTACTATGTGAATTTTTTTTTACAATAAGCATATAATAGACATTTTTCTTTTTAAGAACATTTGTGTATGTGTGCGCATGAGTTTATTGCACCATGTGCATGTAGGTGCCTACAGAGGACAGCAAAGGGCATCAGATCCTCTGTAACTGGAGTTCCAGATGGTTGTAGCCACCAGATGTCAGCACTCAGAACCCAGCTTGAGTCCTCTGCCAGAGCAGTAAGCACTCTTAGCTGCTAAGCCATCTCTCAAGCCCTTTTCTTTTTATTTTCTTCTTTGAGATAGGATGTCTGGTTCATACTGACTGACCTGGACTCATGGTCCTCCTGCCTCAAACTCCTGAGTGCTAAGATTACAGGCATGCACCACTGTGTGTGGCTAGCATATGTTGTATTTGTGAATTGAAAAAAAGCAAATAAACATACCTATCATCTGAACGTTTTCATTTATTTGTGATGTCGTAGGTATTTAAATGATTTCTATGAGTTGGAACTACAGCATGGTTCTGGTGTCGTGGGCTGGAGCATCCCAGCCACCAAAGGCATTGTACCTTCTCCGAGAGAGTCCCATACTGCGATTATATATTGTAAAAAAGACTCTGGACGTCCTAGGATGTATGTTTTTGGTGGAATGTGTGGTGCTCGCCTGGATGACCTATGGCAGCTTGATTTAGGTAATCATAGTTTGATTCAGGAATTTCTTATGATTGGTAAGAGAAATTTAAATGTATTTAAAACGTTTTTGTTTAAATACTTGTCAAGTTGCACTGATATTATAGTTAGCATTTACATTCTCTGAAACAGCTGAGACTTTGAGCAATTGAATGTTCAGTTTATGGCAGTAACTTTCCTATGGTCCCTTGAGCTCCACCATAGGTCCTGGCTTGTCTAGAATGGTCCAGCTTTATGCTTGCTGTCCGTTGTAGTTGTCAGTAGTGCCCTCTTTCACCTTGGAAGGATCTGGTTGGGTTGGTAGTTTCTCATTGTCCCCCCTGTCTTTGGGAAGTGTGGCTTTCACAGCATTGCTAACCAGTGGGAAACCTGAGGGCAGCTCTCTAGAAGTGAGTAACTGGAAATGTACTTCTCATTTTTGACTGTTTCACACATTTATTTACAATGGTAAAGTCAAAAATATTATATGTAACTCAAAATTAATGACATTTTAAGCATACTTCTTCAATATAATGTTAAATTCAAATGTAAATAGATTTCTTTTTTTTTTTTTTTTTTTTTTTTTTGGTTTTTTTTTTTTTTTTTTTTCGAGACAGGGTTTCTCTGTGTAGCTTTGTGCCTTTCCTGGAACTCACTTGGTAGCCCAGGCTGGCCTCGAACTCACAGAGATCCGCCTGGCTCTGCCTCCCGAGTGCTGGGATTAAAGGCGTGCGCCACCACCGCCCGGCTGTAAATAGATTTCTAATTGGAAGTTTTTGTGGTCTGGAAACATTTAAGATGAAATTCAGATAACTGATTTAAAACATTTTTGCTTCATTTTGATAAGTACTTCTTTTGTTCTATACTTGTGTGTAAATTAAGGTGATGTACTATTATTAGATCAAGTTCCTGATTTGCTTATTTTTGTTTCTAGAAACTATGTCATGGTCACAACCAGAAACAAAGGGGACTGTACCACTTCCACGAAGCCTCCATACAGCCAGTGTCATTGGAAACAAGTATGGCTAGCTTTCATCTTTACCAACTTTGAAAGATTCATACCAAGCAAAATAAAGATGTTACTTTCTTAGAAATAGATTAGTAAACTTCATAATGCCTCATGCTAACCACAGCTAAAGTGACTTGTCTGTGGGAGCTGAAACACCTGTACACCCACTTCTTTTAGTACCATCTGTGATACCTAGTTGCCTTCCTCTCCGTGCCTTTCTGGTATGGCATGACCTAAGTGTCAGAAGGTGTGGCCAAGCTGCTGTGTCTTCTCTGTGGTTGGATTCCCAGCATCTGCACGGGGCTCACATCCATCACTAACTCCAGTTCTGGGGAATCAGAGACATCAGGCATACATATGGTGCATATGCATAAATGCAGACAAAACACCCACACACATGAAATAAAATGTTTTAGAAAAAATTAAAAAGAACTGTTTATTGCTCTAATTGGCGGTGTGAGTCTGGGAGAGCAGGGCCTAAAAATGAGGTGGACTAAAAGTCTCATGCAGTAGACAACTTATTCGGAGCATCAGACAATTTATACTCTGAGAGTTAAGAATCCTGTGAGTAAGGTGTTCAATCACAAGGACAAGCCACATGAGGTCAAAACACGTTTTCCATAGAAGCACATGAATAACAATAGCTGAAGTTAAACTCCTATCCACTACAGCATGAGAACACATTCCAAGAACAATTCCGTGCTTTGGAGAAACTGAGGTCACAAGACTCTTGTCTTGTTTTCTTGGAGTTTCCCCACAAGCACTAAAAATTCTACACTACTCCATTCCTGAACAGTGTTCCAACAAGAACCCCTAGAGTGCTGGGGAAATTTAAGGATCATTATTTGTTGTTTTTTTTTTTTTTTGTTTTTTGTTTTTTGGATTTTTCGAGACAGGGTTTCTCTGTGTAGCTTTGCGCCTTTTCCTGGAACTCACTTGGTAGCCCAGGCTGGCCTCGAACTCATAGAGATCCTCCTGGCTCTGCCTCCCGAGTGCTGGGATTAAAGGCGTGCGCCACCACCGCCTGGCTTTATTTGTTTTTTTAAACAGTGCTGAAGTTTGAACTGAGCATCTTAACATGTATCGCAGTGTCCTACCATACGTGGAGCTACCTCACCAAACCTTTTTTTCAATTTGAATTTGAGGACCAAGTCTCACTAACTTGTCCAGGCAGGCCTCGGACTTGTGATCTTCCTGCTTCGGCCTCCCTGGGTAGCTGGGATTGTAAGCCTGCACCACCAAGCTTGTTCAAGCATGCTTTTACCACAGCTTCCATGCAGTTGGGACTGCAGGCTTAAAGTTGTTACATTTAAGTAATAGCAGTGACCCAGAGTTACGTGAAATTTCATCTTTTTTGGTCTCTGTCTTAGTTACTTTTCCCAACAGAAGCAACCTAGGAAGGAAGGGCTGGCTGTGCTTACAGTTGGAGGTGGTAGTCCTCCATTTTGAGGAACTCGGAGTGCATCTGCAGTCAGGAAGCAGGGATGGATGCCTGCACCCTGACTGTATTACACACAGGACTGGGTTTTAAGTATATTATAGTTGAAACACTCTTCATTAAACTTATTTTACAGAGTATAATTTTGATTCAGTACCTCTTTATCAAGTTGTTGATTTCGTTTGCTGCTGTTGTTGAGACAGGCTCTTGTTTCATTTCCCAGTGTGGACTCCAGTAATCCTCCTCTTCCCAAGTACCTCTGACTTCAGATGTGTACTACCCTGACTTAAAATGGTAAACTTTTTTTTTTGGAGCTGAGGATCGAACCCAGGGCCTTGTGCTTGCTAGGCAAGCGCTCTACCACTGAGCTAAATCCCCAACCCGGTAAACTCTTTTTTTTTTTTTTTTTTTTTTTTGGTTTTTCAAGACATGGTTTCTCAGTGTAGTTTTGGTACCTGTCCTGGAACTCACTCTGTAGACCAGGCTGGCCTCACATTCACAGAGATCCGCCTGCCTCTGCCTCCCGAGCACTGGGATTAAAGGCGTGCGCCACCACCGCCCGGTGGTAAACTCTTTTTTAAAGGACCATTTTATTTATATAATATTATCTCTACAGTGTAGTAGGTAAGCAAGTGGTTCTGAAGTTTTAAACCAACAAATAAATTTAAGTTCATCCTTGTATTTCCTATCCAAAAAGTAAAATTAAACCACTTACTTTAAGTTCTTGGTTTTCTTTTGCTTTCTAGGATGTACATTTTTGGTGGATGGGTTCCACACAAGGGGGAAAATACTGAGAATTCACCTCATGATTGTGAATGGAGATGTACCAGCTCATTTTCTTACCTAAATCTAGGTGAGTCTTTGAAACTTGCTCATTGACATAATAAAGTAATTTTTGCTATTTGTTGCTTCAGAGCAATAACTGAGTCATGGAAATTTCTTTCTTTTTAGATACAGCAGAGTGGACAACTCTAGTATCAGATTCTCAAGAAGATAAAAAAAATTCAAGGCCCAGACCAAGAGCTGGACACTGCGCTGTTGCAATCGGAACTCGATTATATTTTTGGAGTGGAAGAGATGGCTACAAAAAAGCACTTAATAGTCAAGTTTGCTGCAAGGATCTTTGGTATCTTGATACTGGTAGGTAAGAGTACTTAATTAAGTTCTACCTATAGATACTCAGTACCTGTCTTCAAAGACTTTAAATGAATATAATTTCCTCTTTTCTTACAATAAGAAATCACTGAAAAAAATATGTAACTCTTCCCCACTTCAAAGGAGTCTATTAATTCCTCTCTTATTGAATGTAGAATGGGTTTAAAGATTCCTTCCCAAAGCATGGAAGAAGAAAACTATTCTTATTCTAATGATCAGACCTTGCAAGCTCATCTAAAGTGATCAAGATCATTATCATTAGTGATAAATTCTATTCGTATCATTTACACCCTAATAAAAAATGCGGCAGGAGAGCAGGGCAGCAGTGGTGGCATGTACCTTTAATCCCAGTACTTGGGAGGCACAGACAGGTGGATATCTGAGTTTGAGGCTAGCCTGTCTAGAGTTCCAGGGCAGCCAGAGCTTTTACACAGAAAAACCCTGTCTCAAAAATAAATAAATAAATAAATAAATAAATAAATAAATAAATAAATAAATAAATAAATAAAAACAAAAAAATGCAGCAAGAAATACTCTACTCCTGTTGGTACTTTCCTACAAATCTGTAACCCCAGTGTAATGAGGCCAGACAGCCTCAAATTAAAGGACATTTTAGAGCATTTCTTAATAGTTGCATCAAAAGTTTTAAAGTGGGGGCCAGCAGGATGTCTCATCAGTTAATGGTGCTTGCTGTCAAGCCTGACATCATGAGCTCATTCCCCAGGGCCCATATGATGGAAAGAGAAACCACTGACTCATATAAGTTGTCCTCTGACATGTCCATACATGCTCTCTGGTGCATGCACTTGAGTGTGTACACACACACACACACACACACACACACACACACACACACACACACACACACAGTTGAAAACAATAAAAATCTTCAAAAATTTTCTGAGAATTTCAAATATTGCATTTTTAGATTTTAGATTTGTTTTTATATGTATGAGTGTTTGCCTGTAAGTATGTGCACCATGTGTGTGCTTGGCGCCCGTGAGGGGGTCAGAAGAGGGCATCAGACATTTTGGAATTGGAATTAGAGCCACCATGTAGATGCAGGGAACCGAACCCTGGTCTTCTGCAAGAACAAGCACCCACTGAGCCATCTCTTCAGCTCTGTACTTGGTGTTTCAACCACAGTTATTTTCCTCCTCCACCCTATTCTGTACCCATAGAATTTTGTACTCTTTTTCAATCTGTTCAGTCAGCCAGGAATGACAGCCCACACCTTTAATCCCAGCACTCAGGCAGAGACAGTCGAATCTCCGCCTGGTCTACTGAGTTCCAGGACAGCTAAGGCTACCCACGGAAACCCTGTCTCGAAAAAAAAACAGGAAAAAAAAAGTGTGTTGATTACCTGGCAGGGGAGATACCATGATCACGAAGGTGGTTTTCCCAGGGCGAGGCTTATCCATTGCACTCCGGATGTGCTGACCCCTGTGATTTCCCCAAATGCGGGAAACTCGATTGCATAATTTGTGGTAGTGGGGGACTGCGTTCGCGCTCTCCCCTGGGGAAAAAAAAAAAGTGTGTTGAGTCCAGTTAGTGCCACCCCTGTATTCCTGGGTGTGTGGCCATCCTACCAGAAATTAGAGCAACCTACCAGAGACTAGACCCTTAAAGAAAATGTGTGCTCTCCCAGCAGCTCTCAGTTACCAACAGCTTCTCAGCGAGGGGCAGGGCTTCATGTCCACCTCCTGGCTCCACGCTGGGATTCTTTCTGTCTTGAGCTTGTGTGGGTCTTGTGCACGGGGTGAGAACCACTGTGAGTTGGTGTGTGCAACTGCCCCGATGTGTCCTGAAAACCCCGTTTCCTTGTAGCCATCCCGCTGCCTTGTAGTCTTCCTGCCCCTATTCCGAAGTGATCCCGAGTGTGGGAGGAAGGCAGGTAATAGAGATGTCCCACTTAGGGTATTCTAGAGTCACTGTTCTCCGCCCTTTGGGAGAGCACAGGGTCAGAAAGAGGGAGGGGAGAATAATGGCAGGAATGCTACATGGTGTGGGAATGAAAGGGCCGAGGAGAGAATATAGGAAGGGGTAAGTAACACTACACAGTTCACAGTCCTTGTCTTCTCTACACTCCAGGTCTGTCGTGTGGAATCAGTTTTCTTCTCCTAAAGGGCTTGTTTCATTTGCATTTCTAATAATTTTCTGTTAAAGATTTATTTTTATCTTAGTTTGTGTGTGTTTGTGTGCTTGTGGTTGCACACACATCAGTACAGGCACCTGAGGAGGCCAGAAGGCCTCTAGACTTACAGGCAATTATTAGCTGCAAGATGTGTGCTGGGAAAGAGGCAGTATTTGCTCTTAACCACTGAGCCATCTCAGCCCCCCATTTCTAATAGTTTTTATTGGTAATTTTATTATATTGTTATCATCTAATGTTGTCATCCTTTAGAGGGTATTGGGCTTTGTTTCAGAAGGCAGTTAGTTTATTTACTAGTTTAAAAACTCATTACAGCTTTTTTTTTTCTCGAGACAGGGTTTCTCTGTGTACTTTGTGCCTTTCCTGGAACTCACTCTGTAGCCCAGGCTGGCCTCGAACTCACAGAGATCCACCTGCCTCTGCCTCCCGAGTGCTGGGATTAAAGGCGTGCACTGCCACTGCCCGGCTCATTACAGCTTTTAAAAGTACTTTCCATGGAGAAGTTCTGAAGAACCTTTACTGTGAGGATAATTTATTACAGTTTGTAAGACTTACCTTTCTTGGGGCTGGAGAGATGACTTAGCAGTTAATACCTCATTCAGTTCTTGAAGAGGACTTTAGTTCCTAGCCTCATATCAGGCAGTTGTGGGTAACTCCCTCTCCCAAGACATCTGACACCCTCTTCTAGCTTTGTGTCTGTGCCCGCATGCACATAGACATATGAGTAAAGGTAGAAAGTCACAGGTTTCATTATGACATTTTCATACATGTCCTAAGACTTTGTTCTAATTCCCTTCCCTAAAGTTATTTATTTATTTTTAAAGTCGAGTCTTAGGTATCCCAGCTGGCCTTAAATTCACTATGTGGCCAAGGATAAACTTTGATTCTCTGTCTCCAGTTCCCTAGTGCTGGCATTAAGGTGTGCAAGCAAACAACATGCTTGGTTTTGTTTGTTTGCTTGTTTCCCAGGACAGCGTTTCTCTGTGTAACTGCCCTGGCTGTCCTGGAACTCGCTCTGTAGATCAGCTTGGCCTTGAAGTCAGAGATCCACCGTCTGTCTCCCAAATGCTGGGATTAAATGCATTCGCTGCTACCTCCTGGTCGTGCGTGGCTTACTTATGTAATGCTTTTGTAATGAAAAAGTTGATTATAACAGTGGAACACCTAAACTGGAGACTAGCTGCTTTCATTAAAAGAGCGCAATAGCAAAGAGAAAGAAGTTCAGAAAATCCACTTTACAGATTTGTCTTTTAAATTGAGATTTACTAACTGATTGTCCTAGTTAGGGTTTCTTTCACTGAGGTGGAACCATAACCAAAGCAATTTGCAGAGGAAAGGGTTTATTTGGCTTACATTTCCTCAGCACTGTTCATCTTTGAAGGAAGTCAGGACAGGAACTCAGACAGGGCAGGAACCTGGAGGCAAGAGCTGATGCAGAGAGGCCATGGAGGGATGCTACTTACTCGCTTGTTCCCCATGTCTTGCTCAGCCTGCTTTCTTAGAGAACCCAGGACCACCAGCCCAGGATGGCACCACCCACAATGGGCTGTGCCCTCCCCATTGGTCACTAATTAAGAAAATGCCTACAGCTGGATCTTATGGAGGCATTTTCTCAGTTGAGGTTCCCTCCTTTCAGATGACTCTAGCTTGTGTCAAGTTGGCATAAAATTAGCCAGGACACAGATAATACAAAGATAAGCTTCAGTTGCTAAAATTATAAGAAAAAAAATGAGTACATATAAATTTATTTGATAGTTTTGATGTAAATAGAATTTTATGCTAAAACCCAGAGAATCTTATAAGCGCCATGGGGCTGGAGAGACCCCCTGAGCAGTTAATAGTGCTGGCTGCTCTTCCAGAGGCCCTGGCTTTGATTCCCAGCATCCACAGGGCTGTTCACAACCATCTGTAACTCCAGTTGCAGAGGATCTGATGCCCTCGTCTGGCCTCTTCAGGCCCCACACATACATGTAAGCAAAACACACAAAAACACATCTAGGGTATCTGATGCCCGTTTTTGGCCTCCACAGGTACATGGACAAATGTAAGCAAACACCCCTACATACGACAACAGTGAAGTAAAGTGTCTTAGTTTGATGTCTCACAACAACAGCAGCAACAGCACTGGTCTCTTCTATGACAAGGTCTCAAGCCACTTCTCAGTTTAGTTCTTCCTTTTTTGTCTCTTGGCTTCTTTCATATGTTAACCTGTTGTTTTCAAGTTTTTATTGGAAGATTTAAATTTACGTAATGAGAATGAAAAATGAAAGCATCAAGATTAAAATCAAATGAAACTCAGTGGAGATAGTTGTAGAAATGTGCAAATGCAGGACACAGCAGCATCCTCAGCAACATGAATAATCAGAAGAAGAAATGAGTCTGAAGTAAATTAGAACAGAAATTCCAACAACATAATTGGGAATTTAAGATTTCTCATAAATGGTCAGATGCTAATCAATCATGACTTTTTGAGTTTTAATTAAGACATAGACAACAGTAAGATTTAATCCTAGGGTAACTTTCTGCTGAAAGTTATTTTTTCTCCCTCTCTCAGGCCCCTTTCCTGTTTCCTGGAGTCTGCCGCCTCATCCTATACAGACATTCATATAGTGATACAGAGGTCAGAGGCTGAGACCCGCATGAGAGGACATGTTGTCTTTCTAAACCTCTGCCTCGTTTATACTTTGCAGCTCCATCTATTCAAACTATAGTTCGGTTTTTCTTTGTGCCTATGTACCAGTTTTTCACTATTTACTCACTTATTGATGGACATTTAGTCTGATCCATTTCCTTGCTATTATGAATAGAGCAGCCATAGATACAGATGAGGAAGTATGTCTGTAATGGAATGTAAAGTCCCTTAGATAGATGCCCAGGAGTGGTATAACTAAATCAAGGGGGACTTCTCTCTAGCCCTTGGAGGGTCCCTCATTTATGTCTGTAATGTCTGTCCAGTTTACAGTCGGGCCAGCAGTTTCTTGTGTCCACCTTTTTCAGTGTCCACTGTCATTTGTTGTTGTGATGACGACCACTAAGACAAGGATGAGACAGAGTCTCGGAGTAGTTTTAATTTGCATTTCTCTGATGGTCGAGGATGTTGAACACATTTTAAAAATATTTATTAGCCATTTTTATTTCTCTTTGGAAAATTCTCTGCTCCTCAACCCATTTTTTAATTGGGTTGTTTGTTTTCTTGCTGTAGGATTTTGAGTTCTTTGTATATTTTAGATAACAATCCTTTACAGATGACAAAGACCTTCCCCCATTCTGTAGTCAACCTCTTTACTCGATTAGCACTTTCCTTTGCTGTGAAAAAATCAATTCCATGCAGTCCCATTTGTTGATGATTGCTTTATTTCCTGAGTGACTGGAGTCCTATGAGGTACATATGCCTGGAACTTGAGTTGTCTTCCTTACATTTTCCAGGTTTCAGTTTTGGTCCTTTTTAACATGACCTTTTTCTCTTCCCCTGCCTCTAGAAGCTTTGTAATTTTTTTTCCTGTTCTTGCAATTTTAAAATTTTATGATGCGGGTGATTTGTTTCTGTTTATTTAGACAGTCTTCCAAAATAGTCCAAGAGGCCTCAACTATACAGTCCTCCTGCCTTAGGTATGTGCCACCATTCTGCCTTGCTTACATGTTTGCTTGTGTTTTGTTTTGTTGGTTTTTTTTTTTTTTTCTGAAACAGAGTTTCTCTGTGTAGTTTTGGTGCCTTTCCTGGATTTTGCTCTGTAGACCAGGCTGGCCTCGAACTCACAGAGATCTGCCTGGCTCTGTCTCCCGAGTGCTGGGATTAAAGGCATATGCCACAATCCCTGGCTTGTTTTGCTTTTTAAAGGAGGTTTTGTTTTGGTTATTTTTAATTATTTGTAGGTATATATGTATGAATTTTAGCATGTGCAAGTGAGTGCAGGTGCCTTCAGAAGCCAGAGGCATCTGATCCCCTAGAGTGGGAACTACAAATGGTTGTGACCCAGTTGATGTGTGTGTGCTGGGAAGTAAACTCAGGTTCACTGGAAGAACAGCTGATGTTCACTAACCATCTCTTCAGCCCTGGATATCTGTTTTTTTTTTTTTTTTTGGTTTTTCGAGACAGGGTTTCTCTGTGTATTTTTGCGCCTTTCCCGGATCTCGCGCTGTAGACCAGGCTGGCCTCGAACTCACAGAGATCCGCCTGCCTCTGCCTCCCGAGTGCTGGGATTAAAGGCGTGCGCCACCACCGCCCGGCGGATATCTGTTTTTAATCTATTGTGAGGAGTACTCAGTGGGCCCTTTCAGTCTGGAAACTTATATTGTTTAGTTTCATAGAAATTTATTTCAGGATTTACAGTTTTTAAAATTCTCTTCATGTCTTCTACCTTAATATCTCTGTTTGGTCTACTTCCTGGACTTTCCAAAATGTTTGCTTTTTACTCAGGTATGAGTTGTCTTACCTTGAGCGGATATAAACAGCTTGGATTGTTAAAAGGATGGTGGAGGACTTTATATGGGAATTATTGAAGGAACTAGGCCATATGGTCTCCTAACTCATTTTGAAGCATGAAAGCAACCCTAGGCAAAATACACTAACAAATGAGTCTTGCTGTATTTCCACAGAACTTGTTTAGGAAATAGGCATAGACTGGCTATGGCCATATGCTGCTGATCATCAGTAAAAAGATACATTTGAGGTTGGAGAGATGACTCAGCAGATAAAAGCACAGGCTGTTTTTCTAGAGGACCAGAGTTCAATTCCCGCACCCACGTGGTTCCTCACAACCATCTGTAACTCCACTTCCAGGGGACCCGACACCTTCTCCTGGTCTCTGTGCACCAGACATGCATGTGATGTACAGAGATACATGAAGGCAAAACACCTATATACATAAAATAATGATTAAAATATTTTAAAGAGGTATTTAAAAGTGAAGTAGATATTAATATTTGACTTGCTCTAGACAGCTGAGCAGATCACAAAGATGATTTTCTTAGCTAACTGTCCAAAGCTAGGAACATACTTCTCTCAGTGTGAAGCTTGCTGACATCCTAAGTACACACAGAAGGTTGGAGCAAAGATATTGTCATAAAATCCATAATCTCAGATCTTTTTTGTTTTTGTTTTCCGAGACAGGGTTTCTCTGTGTATACAGGCTGTGCTGGAACTTGCTGTGTAGACCAGGCTGGCCTTGAACTCAGAGATTCATTTGCTTCTGTCTCCCAAGTGCTGGGGTTAAAGGTGTGTGCCACCCACCACCTGACTGTAATCTTAAATCTTAAAGATCTGTTACTTGTGAAAATGTTAGCAATATTTTTCTTTATGTTAGTGATATTTTATACCAAGGTTATGTGTTTTGGTTAAAGGGATATTAAAACTTACTATTTTTCCAAAATATATCCAAGTCATCTTTGCTAAAAGCAGTATTTCTAGCATGTATGCTGTTGGTTGAAAATCAGTTCTTTAAATTAAAAAAACAAGAATTTATGAAGGTCAAACAACAAAGCAGTAATTCTGTAACACCCAGTCTCACCCCTCAGTCTTTCAGACACGATTAGGTTCAGGGTAGACCTTTAGCCCTCTGATTCTAATGACACAAGTAATTTGGTTCTGGGTTGTTTTATTTGTAGAAGAAAGTGAGTAAAATAGAGCTTCAGACTCCTTTGATTTGACTCTCTTTGTTGAAGTGTCTTCAGTAAACAGACACCGCGCTCATTGCTGGTGTTTTCAAAACTGTCCACCAAAACTGTGTTGGCAACTTATTGATGCTTTTGAAACTAAAGGCCCTATATAAATGTTTTTCTTTAGAGAAACCGCCAGCACCATCACAAGTCCAGTTGATCAAAGCTACTACCAACTCTTTCCATGTCAAGTGGGACGAAGTGCCGACGGTTGAGGGCTATCTTTTGCAATTGAATACTGACTTGCCATACCAAACTGCATCACCTGATTCTTCAGCAGCACCAAATATGCTAGGTAAAATAAGTGTCATGCTTAAAGAATGCATGTCTGCTCATGTGCTTTTTAAGAACATACTGCAGAAAGTCCTGTGATGATGCTTGGTTCAGGAAAATGCATGAGTTTTAAGACGCCCTGGTATATACCTGCAAACCAGCTCTCCTGAATGTCAGCTCTGAAGCCTGGCTGTCTTACTCCTCGTTGTAGCAGGACTCAGAAAGGTGCATAAAGTGCTTTCCTGCAGTTCATTCTGTGTACTTGAAGATCGATATTCCTTGAGTTCCGACATGTTTTTAATTAGCTTTCAGAAATATTTCACTGGTTTTCAAAAGTGTTTTTAACTGAACAGGCCCTTGGAAAGTAACGAAATTTGTTACAGTCTTCAGCAACTATTAAATAACTATTAAGGAAGCAGATAAACGTGGATAAAGATGATATTTTAATCTTTAATGTAAACTTATAACTATTTACAACATATTTTATGGATGCTAATTAAGAGCATATCAGTGTGAACTTTCTCATTCCTACAGGAGGCAGGATGGACCCTCACAGACAAGGCAGTAATAGCATCCTTCATAACAGTGTAAGTTGATGCCCCTGTGATGACAAATGAATATTTATGGCTTTAGTCCCAGGTTTACGGAGGGGTTTTTTTTTGCATATTACTCTGAATAATTACTCCTGGCTTCACATGAGAACCACCTCTGAGATGTCCAGGCAACCCGGTTTTCACAGGGCTGGGGATGAGGTTCAGTGTTAGAGTGCTTGGTAGCATACACGAGACCATGGATTCTGTCTCTAGCACCACAGAAGTAAAAGGAGAAAAAGGTTCCACAGACTTCTTATGACGGAGCCTGAATTGAACAACCTTGTTAGAGAGAAGTCTAGTCTCAGTGCACATAGCATTGGATGCTGTTCCTCTTGAATTGATACTTAGGAGCCAGGCTGTAATCCCAGCACTGGAGAGGTGGAGCCAGAAGGTCCAGAAGATCAAGGCCAGCCTCAGCCAGCCTGAACTACACAAAACCCTGTCTCAACTCCAAGAAAGTATTTTTATTTATATATTGTGATATTCTTAGATGTTACACATATATTTATTCTGCATCTATAAATATGATTTAAGAATATTTACATATTAATTATTTTATTTACCAAAGACTGTCAATAGCTAAACTGAACAACTTTGTGTGAGTTTACTTGTTCCTTATGAAGTGGTCATGGTAAGTATTTGTGGATATTAATGGCTCGGCTTATTAAAATTTCATCTGGGAAAACTGCTGTTGATATCAGTGAATCCTTTCCATAGAAAGGGATGAGGTATAGTCCTGTTCTGAGCATGACCGAGAGGATGAGAAAATACTGTAGTTGTCCAGGAAGGAGATATTACAGTTTGTAAGGAGCCTATTTTAGAAGACAAACTACATTTACATTGTGTGTCTACATGTGTCATGAGTATTGTATGTATGTCTGTCAAAGTACTGCATGGTTTGTGGTAAGACAGTGGGTGACTGCCTTGCCCCTCCCTGTTCTTGAATCTTGCTAAAAACAACTCCTTTCAACCCTTCTAGCTTTCTTTTAGTATCTAGCTATGCACACTTGAATGGAATCCGAGTTGGGTGTGGTAGCCCGCCTATAATGCCAGCACTCGGGAAGCAGAGGCAGTGACATCTCTGTGAGTTTGAGGCCAGCCTGGTCACATAGTGAGTTCCAGGACAGCCAGAGCCACAAAGAGAGCAAAGCAATAAATTAAATCCTTATTTTGTTACACCTTTACTTTCTAGCTTTTGATCAATAAGAACAGAGGAAACTGGGAGTAGTGGTGAGTGCTGGAGATCCCAGTACTAGGAGGAGGGGCAGGAGGAGTCGCAGGGCCCACTGGCCAGCCAGCCGAGCCTCCTTGGCAAATCCTAGGCCACTGGAGGACTCCTGTCTTAGAAAACTGCAGCCGAGGTGTCCTGTGGTCTCCACACACATGCGGACAGGTTCACATACACATACAGAAAGAACGATGGAAGGTGACTTGATGACACCCCTCCCCATTTTCACTCCTCTCCAGCCTTGAAGTATTTTTAGTGGAATTGAACTTGATGTTTGTGTCACAGTGATGAGGTATCCATAGATGAGCCCTGCAATGAGCCATTAGTATTGTTCCTTCACATACAGCTTAGCTTTTCCTGCTGTTAGCTGCCTCCCTTTTTAGTTCTTTTTTCCTTTCCGACAATTAATTCTAATCAAATCCCAACATCTAAAGCAATTTCTTTTCTTCTTTTTCTTTTTGTTTCCTGGAGCCCTTCTTCATCCTTTAGTCCAGGACCTCCTAAACTTTTTCAATTCATAACCCATTTTTTTGCCCAAGAAAATTTTGCATAATCCAATATATAGGTATATAAAATAAGTATACAAATGAAATATTTGCTAATAATAATTGATAGAGAAGTGTATTGTGTGTGTGTGCAAGTGTACATTTGTATGCAAGATCACATGGAAGACAGAGGTCAACACTAGGTATCCTCCTCAATCACTCTGCACCATGTATTTAAGATGGGATCTCCCTGAACCTAGGTCTTGTAAATCCAACTGGACTGGCTGGCTAGCGAGACCCAGGCAGGGATCCTCCTGTCTCTGTCTCTCCAGCACCGGGCTTACAGGCGTGCACCACCACAAGGAAGCTTTTTCGCATGAGTTTTTTTGTTTTTTCGAGACAGGGTTTCTCTGTGTAGCTTTGCGCATTTCCTGGACCTCACTCTGTAGACCAGGCTGGCCTCGAACTCACAGAGATCCGCCTGGCTCTGCCTCCCAAGTGCTGGGATTAAAGGCGTGCGCCACCACCACCCGGCTCGCATGAGTTTTTATTTGGGTCCTGGCGATTGAACTCAGCTCCTCATGTTTGTGCTGAAAGTATTTTATCAACTGAGTCATCTCCCCAGCCTGAGAAATTGCTTTTAAAATAATTATTTGGTATATATACAGTTTACTGTTGTTAAGCAAATTTGCATACTGATGAGATGGTTGTGCTTTGTTAACTGGAGGATTTAGAACATCTTCAGTGTTTTTGAAAATTGATGGCCGTTTTTATTTTACTATTATAAATGCTGAGAATGCCACCTCACATAAATAATGTAGACAAAATGGCAGAAGTATGTTTAGGTCCATTCCAGAGACATTGTTGGAAATTCCATCCTGATTCTTTGGGAGCCAAAATTCATGTAATGGTTTTTGTAAAATTCGAGTCAGCAACTCACCAGCAAATTAAAAATCTAGAGGCCAGCAAGATGTCTCAGTGAGTATAAACACACACACACACACACACACACACACACACACACACACACACACACACATGTGCACACTCAGGTAAAACAGCAGCAACATTGGAGTATTTGAAGAAAGGCAGGTCATTTTTTATAGTTCCATGGCTATATAATTGATGATGATGTTACTGATAACTTGGACTGCCATAAAATTTAAATGTGTTCATTATAGTATATTTAGTCTGTCTCCCCCCTCCTCTCTCCTTCCCTTCGTCTTTCCTCTCCTCTTTCCTGGGCTCCATCTTCTCTACCCCAGTCTCGCAGAGTATCCAGAATCATATGTCCAGACCTCCAGGCTCAGCATTAGGAAGGTTTCTAACCAAATGTTTAATAGTAAATAATACTGATGTGTAGTGTGTTAACATTGATGTGTAGTGTGTTGAATCTTTATATGTAAAACTCAGTCATACAGAATAATTCATTTGCTGAAATTTTCCTCTTAGGAGTCATCAGCCCTTTTGCCTATGTGTCTGATTTGTTTTTTAAAAATTGAATAGGGGCTGTTAACAAAATGGTTCAGTGAGTCAAGAACTTACTATGCAAGCCTGCCCACCATAGTTCAGTCCCCAAGACCCACATAAAAGCATTAGGAAACGGACACCATAGAGTTGTCCTCTGACCACACATATGTGTCATGGTATGTGTATACCGTTGCACATTATACACACAATCAATTAAAAAATTATTAATGCCAGGCAATGGTGGCACACACCTTTAATCCCAGCACTTAGGAGGCAGAGGCAGGTGGATCTCTATGAGTCTGAGGGCAGCCTGATTTACAAAGAAAATTCCAGGACAGCCAGGGCTACACCGAGAAACCCTGTCTCCAAAAAAAATTGTTAATAAAAATGCTAACGCAGTTTTCATGGCCTCCTTACGTGTGCTACATAAATACTTGAAATACTAGCCACCATTTGAAAAAGCTAAACTAAAAATAATAATCTTTGGAACAAGGAGATTAGGTGAAAAAAATCTTAAAACTACTAGGCTAAAGAATGATTATAAAAATTAGGGATCTAATTTTAAATGTTTTATATTTTAGTAAATTTGAGTTTCTGTCGTTGTTTTGGGAATCTTACTTCCTAGCCTAGGCTACCTAGAGCACTGGAGCTTTCTGCCTGGGTCTCAAATGACCTGGAGTTACAAGCATGCACCACCACTCCCTGCTGGTGAATTTACTTTCCCAAATGTTCTTGTAAATTGTTTTACTTGTTTTTTTAAGTTTTTACTTCTATTGTATTGCACATTGCTTCCTATGATGAACTATTTTATTTCTTGTAGGTTAGTGATACAGTAAACAGTGCAAAAACTGAACACACAGCCATGAAGGGAACTGCAGTGAGAAACAAACCAGATTTCAGAGCAACAGATGCTAATGCTGGTTTACATTCACCTTTGGCGCCTAATGCTTCTAATAATAACAGTTGTGTGACGGATATGCTATGGAAGAATGAAGGTATAAGGTTACATTTTAAATCAAATTAAACCTTTATAACATTGGTAGAGAATCTTAGAGTTACTGAAAAAGTAGACAATTACACTGTCCTTGGGGAGTGGGGTGGGGTGTGTGTGTGTTCGAGTCTTACTGTGTAGCTTTGGCTGACCTGAAACTAACAGAGCTCCATCTGCCTCTGCCTCCTGAGAGCTGGGATTAAAGGCAAGTACTTATATTACATGGTTTTAATCATTTTCTTCATAGTGAGCCTCATTGACAGATTATAAGTGTGAAATTGCAGTCAGGGAAGTTCTTGTTGAATTGACTTTGGTCAGTGTGACTTTTCTTGTGCTTGTTTTCTGTCACTTTTTATGTAAGAGGTTATTTATTCATCTTGTTCCTCGTTCCAAAAGGCTGAGATCTGTGCTTGATGAATAGTTGTCATTTAGTAAATAGTCGTGTAGCAGGTATCTGAATTAAGGTAATTCAGTTATGGGAACTGTTCATTAATCACTTGCATTTACAAGACAGCTCATAATTTGGTGGTTTTTTTATTTGAATATTCTGTTGTATTTTGTTTTGATTTTTAGGTTTTTTTATTTTTGTTTTTTTAAACAGGATCTTACTCTGTAGCCCATGCTAGCCCGAAACTCACTATTGTAGCCTAGGCTGACCTAAACTTGTGGCAATCCTCCTGCCTCAGCCTATAAAGTGTTGAGATTGTAGGCATGATCCACCATGCCTGGTTATATTTGAATATTCAGATGCCATTGAGATATATATCAAGTATTGCTTATGATTTCAATATCTGCAATTATTTTATAAATTTTATTTTGGTATACCCTTGGAATAGAATTGTAGCTTTTTGATTTTAAGATATTGTGATAGCTGTTCTAAATCTAGTGGTTGAGGGATTCAAATAAAACAGAATAAACATTCTTTTTATTTCTATTTCGAACAGTAGATAAACATACTCTAGAAAGATTATTTGCTGTACTGTTCTTTTGCTCTGCTTACACAGAAGGAGCACTTCGTTGAGTTTCCTTCCTTTTCCTTTGCTTGGTTTTTCTTCTCTCTGCTTTTGTTTTGGTTGGTTGGTTGGTTGGTTGGTTGGTTGGTTTTTTTGAGGCAGGGTTTCTCTGTGTAGCTCTGTAGACCAGGCTGGTCTTGAGCTCACAGAGATCCGCTTGTCTCTGCTTCCCAAGTGCTGGAATTAAAGGTATGCACCATCACCACCACCCAGCTTTTATTTTATTTTATTTTTGTTTTGAGATAGGCTCACTCTGTATCCCAGACTGGCCTAGGACTCACTAGGTATCACAGGCTAGCCTCAGCTCCTAGTGATTCTCCTGCTTCACCCTTCCAGGTGCTGGGATCATAGGTATGTCCACTACACCTGACAGGGTCACTGGCTTTCTTGATATAAAGGTATTATTTGGTATAGATAAGCTTGGTCCTAAACTTCCAATTTAAGATTTCTTATTTGTAACTTTCTGTCTTGCGAAGAAGTTTATATTGTGAAAACAAACTTGAGCTTGAGCTTCTAAATCCTGAGTAGAGTTGGTACTGAACAAACAGTAAAGCCAGAGGTTGTGGGACGGTGCCTGACATATCATAAGCACTCCGTGTCTGGGATGGCTGCGCAGTCTAGGTTGCACAGAGCTTGACATCCTTTACAGATGCAAGAGCGGCCAGTGTGTGTCTCCAAGAGGAAAGGGGTGATAGGAGTAGATTGTGTTTTCCTTGAAAGTAAACCTGACTTTACTGGAGGAAGAGACGTTTTAGGAAAGAATTGAAAGACTGGGTAGGGCTTCTTTTAGTACTCTCAGATAGGTGTGCATAAAGACAAAACAGTGGGTAAGACAGAATGAAAACAAAACATTGAAGATGCTCTTAAAAAGGTATATTAACTAAACTTGGCAACTGGTTGGTTATGAGAGAAAAAAGCAAGTCAAGCAAGACTTTTTAGTTGACTATCAGAATGGACACGGCTCTTCATCGGAATGACAGTACAGGAACAAGGGCACTCAGGAAGAGTGTCTACCTGTGAACCCAGATAGGTACTAGAGGAGCACACTGGGCAGTTAGATACATAGTGTGCAGGCTAGGAAGCAGTTCTCAGCTAGAAATACAAATGTAGGGGCTATCTAAAATGTAAGTGCCACAAGAGTGGAGGGAGGCCTTGTGGACATGTTCACTGCTAGATTCCCAACAGCCAGTATTGTGCCCAGGTCATACATGTGTGCTGAACTAGTGAGTGATTGGTGACTAGTGTTTACAGCCCAAGGTACTTACTCGCAGAGAAGGAACCTCAGTTTAAGAATCCAGGTAGAGCCGGGCAGTGGTGGCACATCCCTTTCATCCCAGCACTCGGGAGGCAGAGCCAGGCAGATCTCTGTAAGTTTGAGGCCAGTCTGGTCTACAGAGCGAGATCCAGGACAGGCACCAAAGCTACACAGAGAAACCCTGTCTCGGGGAAAAAAAAAAAACCTCGCTGAAGAGAGTGAGAAAGGAGGCCCCTAGCTTAGGAAAAGATAAATGTTGTTTGTTTTTGTTTTTTCCCTTATAGTAGGCATTACAGTTTGTGACTCTTTTTGTATATGTATGTTTATGTATATGTATGTACCAAATGAAGAAATTTATGGGACATGAACCCTGTCTCCCTTCACCATCAAAGAAATAAACATAATACCCTGTAGGCAGTCTTCAGTATTGTGGGATACATGAATATAACTTTATTTTCCACAATGGGAGAGAAGACAGAAAATGGACAGGATCACAAATACATTTCTAGTTTAGGCAGGAAAAGATAGAACACTGAAGAAACTCATGCCCCCACACACACACCCTCAAACCGAGTGACAGTCATTTGATCTATAGTTCAGTAACAAACAGTGTCAGTATTTCAAGTGGAAAAGGGAGCTGAGATGTTAGATGTCCGTGATGGGTCCAGTGCCCTTTTCTAAACATTTTCTACCCCGTAGTTAATCCATATTAGTGCTGCGTACAGTGCTCAAGTTTGTGACTGGAAACTGAAAGCGCCAAGAAGTACACAACAAAAGTAGTAACTCAGAAACCTCCAGGGTCTCTACCTTTCCCTTTAAACTCAGGTCCTCATGCTTCAGCACATGTAGGTGGAGTTAGTAGTTGCCTGGACCTAAGAGCAGTGATTCCTGAAACTTGGCTCTCCAGTACTGTTTCCAGCATGCAAACTATGTGAGCCCAGCAGGCTATTAAAACTGAACCATCCAGTTCAAATGAGGCAGGTGCTGAAGATGGGACTTCTCCAGCAGCATTCAGTCCCAAATCTAAAGGTTTGGAACATGTTTCACATACTGCATTTTGAACCATTTATACTTATAAATCATCAGAGTTACTAATGTAGATGGGAATTCCACTGTGGAGCAAATCATGAAGCAGTTAAGATAAATATACATGTCTTTTTTTCTTTGACTTTGTTTTTTGTGAGATAAGATCTCACTATGGGGCTGGAGAGATGGCTCAGTGGTTAAGAGCACTGGCTGCTCTTCTAGAGGACCTGGGTTTAATTCTCAGCACCCACATGGCAGATCATAACTGTCTGTAATTCCAGTTCCACCAATGCACATAAAATAAAGTTTGTTTTTCTTAAAATCTCACTATGTAGCCCAGCCTGATCTCCTACCTTGAGATCCTCCTGCCTCAGCCTTCTGAATGCTGAGATTATAGGGTAGATCTCTGCACCCAACTATATCTCCTATTAACCTCAAAAGTTAGACAAGTTTTTGTTGCCTGTCCCGTTAGTGATTGAACGTTCTGATGCTATGCTGAGCTACATCCCCCATCCCAGTATAGTCCTTGTTCCTGTATGTAAAGTATTCAGACCAGCACACACTAACATGACGCTTATCTCCTCCGCTGGAGTAAGTTGAGCACACCCCATCCCTTAGGAAAGGTTAGTCCTGAGGATCGACAGTCCTCCAAGCTTGACGGATGACTAACTTTGTCACTTGTTCTCCTGTGCTAGGAGCCAGGTTCATCTTTGATTAGAGCTAGTCATCAACCCTTATGAAAGGAACACTGTGACTAGTTTGAGTGATTATTGATCACTGATATCTCTGGCTGTTTTCCCCATTTTGTGTGCATGTGTTTGTGTGTGCATGTGCACGCATGTATGTATCCACAGATGTGCATGTGTGTGCATGAGAAGGCTAGAGACACCCTGTGTGTCTACCTCAGTCACTCTCCACCCTGTTCTTTGAGATAGGGTCTCCAATTTTTACATGGAGCTTGCTAATTTAACTAAGCTGGCAGACAAACAAGCCCCAGAGATCTGCCTTTCTCTGCTTTACCAGCACTGGGATAATAAGATCGTGCCCAGTTTTTTTACATCAGTTCTGGGATTGAGATAACTCCCCAGCTCTCAGTTCTTCGGTTCTTTTAATTATGGTAAAATACGTAGAATATGGACTATGTTTAATTGTTTGGTGGCATTAAATACCCTGTATATTTATGAACTGTTTTAATATGTCTGAGTGATTAAATACTTAACTGATGGTTTGATTTTCAGTTGATGAAATATGTGCTCTGCCTGCAACTAAGATCAGCCGTGTAGAGGTGCATGCTTCAGCAACGCCCTTTTCTGTAAGTGTATGATCTGGTGGAGGTGATGTTCTAGATGAGTGTGTGTGTTTAAATAAAAAGGGTCTCAGGTCTCATGAAGTAGGAATTGATATAAATTTAAAAGTAGGTAGATGAATAGGAAATGTTCATAATATAGTTAGTGAAAAAAGATGGCTACAATAATAATGCCCATTTTGTGGTCCCAATTTTGAGGTAAAAATTCATTTAATATACATAATCACATTCTCAGTATACCACCTCACAATGCAGCCACAACTGCTAGGTGACTGTCTTTGGGATGTGAGGCCACAAATCATTTTGACATTCTTCTTCATGTTTTCTCTAGTTTATGTATATTTAAATGGACATACATATGTGTGCATTAATGTAAATTAATGGTTAAAGGAATTTGTTAAGGGACAGAAGTACTTGGGTAACTACTTCATAGGAGCACAGCAGAACATTGCTCTAATAGATTGACATACATGGAGGCTAGCTCAAAAATCAGACAGTGAGTTGTTTCATGGGTGGTCATAATGGATCTGCATAGCACCAAACTTAAATGCTTGCAAAGTGCCTCACAGATACATCAGGATTGCCTTAAGTAGATAAATATAAGGATTATACATACATACTGTTATTAGGGGTTAAAAAAAACGGTCATTTCACTTGATTGCTGTGATTATTATGATTCCTTGCTTGTTTTTTTAGAGTCTTTAAGAATTTTCCATAATTTTTTTCTTTTCATTTTTGGAATTTTGATCATGTATCTTCCTTTATCAGTGTTCCCCTTTCCAGAACATTAAGTCTGTGTAGACTCTTCTCAGGGAGGGATTATTAAATGGAAAGGTTTTCCTTTTGAGTCTGTTTTGTGACATATCAGTCACAGTTGTGTTTGTTATTTCAGTTGGAGCCAGGTGCTTCATGAAAGTTGTTTAGCAAATGAAGATGAGTTCAGAGCTGTCCCTAAGCTTTTAAGACTTCCAGTCAGTTGATTTTGTTGTGTGTGCTAGCCTGCATAACAGAAATGTCAGTGATGAGCATGTGCCTCTGCTGTTGTATATTAAGTCAGAAATAAATAACTGACGTGCACATTTGTTTTGAGCTTCTGGAAATAATTTCCCATTTATAAAAAGATGGTTTTGAAAGGTTAGTTCTGGGAGTAAGGATAGCTCACCACTGAAAGTTAGAGAAAGTCTGTTTTTAAAGCAGAGAAAAGAAATGCAGACCAGTGTAATCTTCTCCACTTTTTCATATAGATTGAAGTCTATTCACATTGCATTTTAGTTTTGAACATTTTTTTTTATCCTTTTAGTTTTGGAGAAGCACAGGTATTTCAGATACAAAGATCACTGGATCTCTACTTATTAGTTTTGAATCTAGAGACAAGGCCAGTTGGAATGAACTTTGTTCCTGTAGCATTTCTCCAAAGCGATTCTGCTTTCTGAGGGTCTCTGAAATGACAGTGTTCTCTAACAGCTGGTACGTTAACCTGCCACTGATTTGGAAGCATGCTAACCTCAGCCAGGCTCATAGTAGCAAGCTCCTGGTGGAGAGTCCCTGTTACACCCTGTGTTTAATTGGCATCCCGTTCATTGTGAGCTAGTAGTGTGTGCTATTCACCCAGGTATGTACTTGTAGACCACTGTATGGGATTACACAAGTTTGACATTTCTATATTCAATAAGGTCTTTATAAACTTTCCTTTCTCTGAAATTAGAAAGAGACACCTTCAAATCCAGTGGCCATTTTGAAAACAGAACAACAATGGTGTGATGTGGGAATTTTTAAAAACAATACTGCTTTGGTGAGCCAGTTCTATTTGCTACCAAAAGGAAAACAAAGTATGTCAAAGGTAACTGTTGGTAAATTTTCAACATTTTGAGGGCTGAGGAGATAATTAGTAGAATGCATGCCTGGCATGTGTATAAGTTTGGCTACAATTCCTAACACTTCATAAAGCAAGCAAAATGTACAAAAAGTGAATTATGAACCTTGGGAATGAGATTATTTTTGATAACTCTGATTCAGGTCATTTGAAGGAATGAAATTGGGATCTTTCCACGGTGTATTATTGAGAGTTCTGTATATGTAATCATCTTACATTCTTTAATGCTGCTTTTATAACTGTGACACAAATAGTTCATTTAAAAAATATTTTGCCAAGCGATGGTGGTGCACACCTTTAATCCCAGCATTCAGAAGGCAGAGGCTGGCAGATCTTTGAGTTCCAGGACAGCCTGGTCTGCAAAGTGAGTTTCAGGACAGCTAGGGCTACATAAAGAAACCTCTCAAAAACAACAAAAACAAAAACAAAACAAAAAAAACCACACACACACACACACACACACACACACACACACACACACACACACAAGCAAACACGGTGAAAAAACCTGCTTCAAGCTGGGCATGGTGGTGCATGGCTTTAATCCCAGCACTCAGCAGTCAGAGGCAGGCAGATCTCTGTGAGTATGAGGCCAGCCTGGTCTACATAGTGAGTTTTAGGATAACCAGAGCTACATAGTGAGAGCCTATCTCAAAAAAAAAGCTGTACCCAATTATTTCCCATAAAGGGTATCCCAACCAACCTATATCACACATACACACACACACATAAAATCATATATATATATACACATATATATATATGTGTATATACACACACACACACACACACACACATACATACATACATACATACATACACATAAAATCACTTACCAGTTTAATTTCTCTAGCAAAACTTTTGGCATCCTTCCCTCTTTTTCATATTGAATATTTTCAATTCTTTTATTTCATTATTATTATTATTTTGGTTTTTCAAGACGGTTTCTCTGCGTAGGCTGTCCTGGAACTTGCTCTGTAGACCAGGCTGGCCTTGAACTCACAGAGATCTGACTTCCTCTGCCTCCCAAGTGCTGGGATTAAAGGTGTGAACCACCACCACCCGGCAAATATTTTCAATTCTTGATTTAAAAAAAAAGTCTAGTAATAATTACTACTTTTATGGCTAATGAGGATCCCTGACTGGAGATGAATCTGTGTCCATATAAGGATACATCCATTGTAAAGACATGCTAGCTACCTAATTTTTCTTAAAAAACAAAAGAGCATAAAATCTGTAGCTAGTAAACTGGAGTTTGAATTTCTAGTTCCAGTACTCCTCAGTTTGAACAGAGGCAAGTCAGTTGTCTAAACTCTCTGGGATCTGGTGTCCTTCCTGTGTAGTAGAGATGACCAGGCTTCCAGACAGTGTGGTGGTCCACTGGCCCCGTCACGGCAGGTGTGGTGATGGTCAGCAAGAAGAACTGCAAACTGTCTGAAAGGAATAGGTGGTAGGGTGTTGCCACCCAAGAGCATATCCTCATTAACGTTTATTCAGTGTCCTGCGTAGGATTTATAAAACTACCCTACATGTTAGTTACACCTTCTTTGCCAAGCTTGCTTACCTGTCTCTAAAGGGCATTGCTCCTAGGAAGACCATTATATGACAGCAAGTCCGAGATTCTTCTCCCAATTAAGTTCACGTGGGGATGGGGTATTTCTTTTGTTGATTGTGATGTCACCTCTGGGTTTTTGTTTTTGTTTTTCCTGCCTCTACTGCCTCCCATGTGCAGAATTCCCTTGCCTTTCTCCGTACAGTCAGAGGTTCAGATCAACTCCCCATTGGGTATGAATCTGATTCAGGAAGGGACTTACTGGGTTCTGCATTAGTTTTACTCTTTGTGTGAGAAAGGGAAATACATGATGGACTTGCATCCCTAAAATACAACTCATTCTTAAACAGTTTTTTGTTTAATAAAAATTGAATAATTATAACTTTGAAATAAGTGTACCTTTTTTCTGACTTCAATATATCTTACATTTTAGGTAGGAAATGCAGATGTACCTGACTACAGTTTACTTAAGAAACAGGATCTTGTTCCAGGAACAGTATATAAATTCAGAGTTGCTGCAATCAATGGTTGTGGAATAGGCCCTTTCAGCAAAATCAGTGAATTTAAAACGTGTATCCCTGGTTTTCCTGGAGCTCCTTCCACAGTCCGTATCTCCAAGGTAACCTGTCAGGTCCAGGAAGACTGGTCTGTGATGCAAACGATTGGAAACGCAGGGTTTAGAGATTTTTTTTTTTCCCACCAGCCAATCATGGAAATATTTGTCAGCAGTAACATAAACAAAAACATTTTCTCCATTGCTGTTTACCTCTCCATCCTTATCATTTCTTTTCTGTGTGCCAAAGGGAATTTATTATGTTACAGCAAACTATCCAAAACTAGATGATTTATTTTAAAAATACAAATATATCATTTGCAGTTTCAGAGGTGGGCAAGTCCAAGATCAATATTCCTGTGAATCTGGTGCCTGGTTGGAGACCAGCCTCCAGTCCATGGCATTTCCAGTTGTTTCATGGGGGAGAAGCTAAATTTTCGGGTTTCAGAACTTACAGGAAAGGTCATTCTCTGTATCATGAACCTGATTTTTATGGGCATCACATTAGATTGCCAAGGGTGAAACCCTCTTGGTTCTGTCACTTGTGAAATACCCCTCTAAACACATATTGAGAACGAAGATTCATCTTATACAGAGATTCTTTTTTCCCCCCTCTTTTCTTTCTTTCTTTTTTTTTTTAATGCTGAATACTGTTTATTGAAGGAGGGAAGAGGTCTTCAATACAGGCTTACAGCACAATGGGAGAACCCCAGAGGGCAGAAGTTTGATACCGATGTTTTACAATCTTGCATCTAAGCTGCTAACGCCCATTATGCAGGATACACAGACAAGGAACTTCCCTTAAGCATTCAGGAGGGTGGAACCCGGCAGGGAATTAGCATAGAGAGGATATCAAGGTCAAGGTCAGCAAGCAAGGCAACAGTTACCCAAAACAGGGGCCAGGACCCTACAGGTCCCCCTTTTACTGAAAAATGAGCTTCTGACTTAGGTTGCATGGGATGTCAGCAGGTCACCTTACCCGTCATGGAGACGCCTGCCCAGGCCACACAGGCGCTCTGTCTTAGGTTGGTGAGCGCCCCCCAGGCATTACCTGTCTTATACAGAGATTCTTACTGGCACTTGTGAAAGATACTTAAGGGAGGTGGATTAAATGTTTAAAAGTGTGTGCTGGTAGCCATGCATGGTATTTTGAGTACGAAATTACAAGTACAATTACAGCATAAAACCACAGGACTGGAAATCAGTTTGTAATTGTCCTATTTCATCATCCAGAGTTCATTTTGGAGAGGTTCCCCCCCCATCCACCCTACCCCTCCGAGCTGAGGACTGAACCCAGGGCCTTGCACTTGCTTTAGGCAATCGCTCTACCACTGAGCTAAATCTCCAACCCCATTTTGGAGAGTTTTAAATTCCAGGACATACGAAGTTGGGTTGTATTTTATAACTCGTGCTCTTTGCTAAGGAAGAAAATCCTCTATGGGGGATACAATAGGCAGATTGTGGATATTTAAGCCTCACTTTGTGAAAAGTGTGTGTAAACTGTAGAGCCAGTTAAGCTATCCTAATCAGCAGTGAGAGTTCTGATGTCTAGTGCAGTGACAGGAGGAAAGGGTCTGCCTTCTAAAGACATGATAAGTGATAATAGAGAATCACCTCTTTCTTCCTCTTCTCTAGAATGTCGAAGGGATCCACCTTTCCTGGGAGCCTCCAACTTCACCTTCTGGGAATATTTTGGAATACTCAGCCTACTTGGCTATCCGCACAGCACAGGTGCAGGATAATCCAAGCCAGCTTGTGTTCATGAGGATCTACTGTGGTCTTAAAACCTCATGCATTGTGACTTCTGGGCAGCTTGCAAATGCACATATTGATTACACATCCAGACCTGCCATTGTATTCAGGATATCAGCAAAGAATGAAAAGGGCTATGGACCAGCCACCCAAGTTCGATGGCTTCAAGGTAACAATAAGAAAGCACCTTTGAGTTGAGTTGTTTTTGTTTAAGCTGTTGTGATGGTTATTTATTAGTAACTGGTTATGAAGACCTGTTCTCGGAGAGTAGTCTCTGATTGTATTTCTAGCAGTTATGAATTTGAGTTTGTAAGTTGTTCTTAAAATGTATTTGCTCATTTCTAGATCCAAATAAAAAATAGAAAGAAGCAAAGACTGAAAATTAGTATATGGATTCTTCCTTACCCATATAACTACTTATAAAGAAAACAAGAGCAAAACAAAGACAAAAGCTGTAAGGTGTATTGCCCCTTCTCTTTTGTAAAGGCCTCGTAACTCAGTCATCTGCAGCTGCTGAGATGAGTCCAGTAACTGGCTGTTGTACACCTTGCTGTGGTGAAAGTGTTCCCCATTGTTAATGCCCTGCCTGAGTATCCTCCTGCCTTTATCCCATGAGCAATGCTCTTCTACCAACACTTTCCAGTGCATTTATGATACCTAAACTTACTCCTTTATTTATAGTTACCACAAGCCTAAGAAGTTAAAAAAAAAAAAAGGCAAGTGCAGGAACTCTGTCTTGTTTTTTTTTTTCCCCTGAGAATCCTAGCAAAATAAAAAAAAGGATAGTGGATAGTCTTGATTGGTATATGACCAATATATCTGACTGTATCTTTAACTGAAGCACTTAATCTATCTGGCCCTTAATTTCTTCCCTAGCAGGTGAGAGAGTTAGAAGAGTTTTCGTGAAGGTCCCTTTCAGCTCTAGTGTTTTGTATTTTCCTTAGCAGTCAGGTGTGTCCCTGAACGCTGTCCTTTGTAGCAGTCTTCCTCACTCTAGCTGTGCTTTTCCTTGACCTCATTAAAAATCAAAGCGTGTGTCCTCCTCCTGAAGAAAGAAGTAAGCACCTTAACAGGACACAGGTTTTTAAATAGTGTTTTAAACATTTGTAAGATTTTTGTAAATGCTCTAGATGTTTTATTTTTGCATTATTTTTACCTCAGAATTGTATAAGCTTTTGTATACCAGAAATAAAAAGCATCAGACAGCCAGTGCAGGCTCCTTACCACCTCAGAGATGATGCAGATAATTCCGTGACCATTTGGCTGCAGGTAACTTGCTTTACACCTTCTGAAGTCTCTTAGTTTGACCGCCTAGTCTGTTTGGAAATGAGTATGTACAGGCAGTAGCTGCAGAAAAGACATTTCAGGCTGAGCGCTGCCGTGACTGCAGGAGCACAGGCCTAGCTGCTTCTGCCACACAATCTCAATGCCAGTTTAAGGTGATGAGTAGCTGTGCCCTCCAGCTTTACGTATGATATGCCCAGTGAAGATGAGTCTAATTGTGAAGAATTGATATATATGCCAGTTACTAACTTAAAGTGTATAGAATATTTTAATATATAATTTTTGTAAAGACTGGGATTTTTATACTACAGTATTTGTAATTAATGCGTCTCACTAATTAAATTTCTCTTGAAGAAAATATGCAAACTATTAGACACATGAGTGGTTTCTGAACTCTAAAGATAAAAAATAAATGCACTACTCTGGTGTTATTAGAATACCTTTTTTGGGTACATGAGTCCTTAATCATTAAATGGGTACTTTCCAAGCAGTGTTTACAAGGAGCACCTCTGGTTGGTTATTCCAGCAGCTCCCGTGGGGAGAGCTTCACTCTGCCTTCATTTAATTTATGTGCTTTGCTTTGGGCAGTGCTTGCTTTTTGCACTAGGAGACTTTGAACTTACCTCATTATTATGTTTGTAATCATTTGTGTAGCTTCCATGATGTGTCTGATAGAGCTAAACATGTCTTAACCAAAGTTACGTGGTATGCAGATTTGCACATACTGAGTGGTAGGCTTTGCTGTATGTGTGTGCTCAGCTTAGAATAGCCAGTTACAGGAAGTGTATGTTTCAAGCCCAGTTACTTTCTTAGAAAACTTCCGAGTTTCAGTCCCTATTCTCTGCATCAGTTAACAGTTTACATCTTGAAACATTTATCTTTCTGTTGAGGAATAAGTTGATATATAGCAGACTAGAATGTTGGTTTTGTGTGTGTACTTTTTTTTGTCTATTTAGTATGTGATTTAGTTTATTTTGCTTAAAGGCATCTTCTATTCTAGACCAGGAGACAGATATGAGCCCATGGTTCTAACATACGATTTGCTTCTTTGACAAAAGGGTAGCCTTTCTATATCAAGTGATTTGTTAAAATAATAAATCTTTTTACCTTGCAAATTGCCCAAATTGTATTTTTTTCTTCATTGGCCTACTTCCTTAAGCATAAGTCATTTTTGTGTTTCTGTTATGGAGCTGGTGACTGAGAGATCCTTTAGCAGGTGAGTGTGGCTTTGGTGGTAGTAGTTCATGCGGTGTTAGAACTGCTCCATTAGAAGGACTCGTCCTGCCAACGTGACTTGCACATCGTGAAGCTGTGATCCATGTCATGCAGACATTGTTTTCTTTTTCCGCCATCTGCCGCATCCTTGTTTTGTGTGTGTGTATGCTGGAGATTGAACTCGGGGCCTGGGCAACTAGGCCAGGGCTCCAACACCAAGCTCACCACCCCTAGGCAGATATCTCTTACTACGAGGATTTACATTAGGTTGAATTTCTTTCTTTCCTCTCCAGTTGTATAACGATCTTTGTGTCATGAGCCTCTGTCCTGTGTTCTGAACTTCGGTTCACATAAGAAGTAAAAATATTGATATTGCATGCTCTTAGAATTATGTTTTTTAAGATACTGTATTGGCTTTATTTTAGTTTAGCAAATTATTTTGGCAATTTAACTAGAAATAAGTTATATATAAACTCAATCTGTATTTAAAGATTAAAATAATCAGATTGCATGTATGAGGCATCTTTGCCCCATAATCCAGTACATGTATAATCATCTATAGAGAAGTGAAATTGTTGATCGATTCTTTCAGACTTGTAGACTAGCAAAAATCAGTTCTGCTTAGAGAGTGTCTGCTGTAACTAAAGGGCTTTTATTTTAAAATGGTAGCGCTTACAACATAAAGACCATTTGTTACATTCTGTGTGGAGTGATTAGTATTTAGAGCTCCTGTAGGCATCTGCTCCTAATAGAGAAACTGCAAGTAGGCTTGGCCTTTGGCCATTTGAAGTGTAACTGTTGTTTCCTAAGACTGATTATAGGCAGTTCTATGTATTGTGTACCAATGATGTGTAAAATAAAAGCCCCTTTTTGCTATAAACAATGACAGGTGTTATTATTGACTTTGAATGATAAAATCAGAGAGTAGTGGTGGCAGAGCCCGTCTGTGGGAGGCTGATGTGTCTGTTGCTGACTTAAGATGGACTGTCTAGAAACTGAAGTTAGGTTGTGGTCAGGAGTCATTTTCTCCAAGATTGATATTGTGTTACAGTTGTGCTGATCTGTGTGCAAGGGGACCGGACAGATGGCTCCAAGAAACAGTCTAGACTTGTTTGCACCTTCTGGAGTCTGTTGACTTTTTGGAGCTTGCTTGCTTTCTCTCCGTGTCTCTCTGTCTGTCTCTCTGTCTCTCTCTGTCTCTCCTCTCTCTCCTCTGCTTCTCTCCCCTCCCTCCTCTCTCCCTCCTCTCTCACCTCTCTCTCTGTCTCTGTCTGTCTCTCTCTCCTCTCTCTGTCCCTGTCTCTCTGTCTCTTTCTCCCTGTCTCTCTGTCTCTCTCTGTCTCTCCTCTCTCTCCTCTGCTTCTCTCCCCTCCCTCCTCTCTCCCTCCTCTCTCACCTCTCTCTGTCTGTCTCTCTCTCCTCTCTCTGTCCCTGTCTCTCTGTCTCTTTCTCCCTGTCTCTCTGTCTCTCTCCCTTCTTCCATCCCCCTCTCTCTTTCTCTCCTCTGTCTCTGTCTGTCTCTCTCCTCTCTCCCTTCTTCCCTTCCTCTCTCTCTTCTCTGTCTCTGTCTGTCTGTCTCTCTGTCTCTGTCTGTCTCCTTCTGTCCCACTTTGGTTCACAGCAGCCAGGTTCTGCCCTGCTACTCTGTTCCGATGGCTCTAACAAAACCAGGTATAATGTTGCATTTCCCGGATCTAGGAGGCGCTCTTTCTCACACTCATCTTGTCGCGTGAGCACCCCTTGGAATTTGCACAGTTGCCCATGTCTGTGGTGGCACATCTGTCTTTTTTCCACACACTTTGTATGGACTTGACCAGTCTGGGCACACCTTCTCCGACCTCCCCACCTTCAGCGAGCTCTAGCTGCTGCATCAAGGCTCCTCTCCTCACGGTCTCACGGATGCTGTCCCCTCACTTCATAGCACTGCCCCTTTCTGGTCTCTGACCGGGTGTTTGCGCAGAGACGGTCTCGTGCTCTTCCCTCCTGGGCTCTTCATGACACCTAACTATCTGAACAGGTGAGTGAAAAAATGGCCACCCTTGTCGTCTTCCATTCCTGATCTCAGATCACAGTCAGCGGGGAGGTTCTGAAGGAGAGTGGTTTTAGTGTGTGTGTCATGCTGGGGAAATAGACGCTGGCGCTTTGTCTGCCTCGCCCGCCCTGCACTGGGTTCCTAACTAAGGAAATTGTGAGATGAGGTGTAGGAGGGAGGTGCTAGATCTCAAAGAGGAGGGCCTGATCTGAAGTTGTGTTAGAGTTTAAGGAGTTCGGTGGGCACAGAGACACTAGGAGGTCAAAATGATCTAAAATCTGTCAGAAGTTAGTCTCTCATCTTTGTTGTTGTCGTGTGTGTGTGTGTGTGTGTGTGTGTGTGTGTGTGTGTGTGTGTGTTTTTGAGACAGGGTCTCACTGTGTAGCCCTGGCTGTCCTGGAACTCACCATGAAGACCAGGCTGGCCTTGAACTCACTAAGATCTGCCTGCCTCTGCTTCCCGAGTGCTGAGATTAAAGGCGTGCACCAGCATGTGGAGCAGAAATAGTCTCTCTGACACTAGAAAGCAGTGTATCAGTTTAAGCCTAGGAAACTGGTGGAACTGACAGCTGGTTTAGAACTGAACTCCTGCTGCTCCCTGGGGCAGGCCACTGTAAGCTTGTTGGGCAAGAGCCTGTTTACCTAGGCTGACTTTGAACTCCTGGCAGTCCTCTGCCTCACCTCTCAAGGGCAGGATTGCAGCCTGAGTCACTGCACTTCATTTTAGAATTTACTCAGAGCGACAGACACAAGATGCCCTTGGCCTTCCTCCCTTCAGGTCTAGTTAGTTATAAGTCCCTGTAACTACAATGTATTATTCTGATCATGTATGGAAAGACAAACCATAACATTCTGGGAGAAACAAAAACCAGATTCTTTAAGCTGAGTGAAAGCTGCAAAATCTCAGGATGGTTGGCCTCCTGGTTCCAGATGGCTCTCCATCTTCCTATCTATGTGCTGCTTCTGTCCATTGCAGAACTAAGATTGAGAAGAAAGAAAGAAAGAAAGGAAGGAAGGAAGGAAGGAAGGAAGGAAGGAAGGAAGGAAGGAAGGAAGGAAGGAAGAAGAAGAAGAAAGAAAGAAAGAAAGAAAGAAAGAAAGAAAGAAAGAAAGAAAGAAAGAAAGAAAGAGAAAATATGTGTGCTTGGGTGGTCTCCCGATCCAGCAGGTTCATCTAGTAAAATAAAGCCTAACAGGTGCTAAGAAGAGTTTGGAAGCTCCCAGTGTCTGGTGCACAGACTGCAGTTTGCCCTCCTTGTCCGTTCCAGTCACACGTGGATTCTGGGTCGCACAGCTGGCTGTGTGTGTGCATGTGTGTTGTTGATGGATAGGCACAGCAGCTCCTGTAACTTGCTGGTGAGTTGATGGTGTAGATGGAGTTGACTCAGTAGAGCGGAGTCCTTGGCTCATTTGCTGCCTCAACTAGTCTGCCCTTTCCCACTCCATAACTAAGAAGATAAAAAACTTCAGTGGCTGATGGGTTAAATATTTCAAGAGCACTTTTGCTTTTCAGAATTTCTGAATTGAAGACCAGAATGTTCAGTGAATTCCCTGGACCAGGAGAAACTGTCCCTTAACTGCTGCAAGTCCATAAAATCCCAGGCACAGACAGGGTGATGTTGGCAGACAGTGTCTAGAAACGGTTGACGTTTCTGCAGACCCAGAAGGAAGCTGTCCTTGATGAAGATAGAGAGGCAGTGGAGAACGGCTGTATGCTGCCCAGGTTTTGGAAATACTTAGCACACAAATGCACAGTTAGGAGAATGTGCCTAGGCAACAGCATTCAGTAAGGAAGTGGTGTATGCTTTACATTGCCAATTAGTTCCTTGAGTGAGCAGTCGTGCACACTGGGTTGTTTTGTATGTCATGGACTTGCCGGTTATTGTTGGCTGCCTCTCATTTGGACAACAGTGACTGAAGTGGCGATGTCATCTTGTTTGAAGTATTGTGTAACCTCACGTCTTGTTTAAAAATATTTGCTGTGAAACAGTGTGTGCCAGCCGTAACCTGTCTGTATGGGTAAAAAAGATAAAATAATGCGACTTTTACCAAGCTTTGCTTAAGAAGCAGAACTTCCTAACTGCCTACAAACTCATTCTATCCCATCTCTCCTCCCTTCATACACACCATACAATGTAAGTGCTCTGGATTTGTTTAGTAATTATTTCCATGTTTTTTATTTGTAGCTCTATCATACATGTGTATGTTCTTAATAAAATGTTTAGATGTACCTTGATTTGAACTTGTTTGTAAAAGTAATCATGATATATGTATTCTCCTGTGACATTTTGTGGTATTTTCTAAATTTGCATACATGTTTATGCACGTGATTGTATTTCATGTCTTCCTGCTATATAATATTCCATTGTATTACTATTCTACAATTTTATCTGGTCTTCTATTCACCAGGATCTGGGTTATTATTTTCAGTTTTTTGCTATTGAAGACAGTGCTGCTGTGGCCATTCTGCCCAATTCTGTTGCAGACTCTGTGTTCCTTGCCTGTAGTCAGTGCTGAGAACAATGACTGACAAAGGACAGACACTCAGTCAGTGTTGAGGGTGTATAGCTTCCTGCACCCATTTCCTTTTGTGTACGAGAGTTGCTGTAGGACAGTTGGTTTTGAAGTCCTGCACTGCGGTTTAATAACCACTCCTTAAAGAAGATCTTTGAGGACAATTGTTTTCATGACCACCACTGAGATATGCGTCCTTTTTACTGCTTTCCCCAAGCTTAAATATTGTCCTGGTATGTAGTATCACAGCTGATATCTAATCGAGCATACATATGCATGTTTTGTGTCTTTAAAAGTCTCCACTTTGGTTTCTCATGTGGTAAGTACAAATAGGCACACCCTGCATGTGCTGTAGCTCTGAATGCCTCAATTTTAAGAATGAAAGAGAATCGGAAGTGAAAGGTTGAATACTGCAGCTTGTAGGAGGAGTCCACTGTAATGCTGAGCTGGGCTCTGAAGTGCTCTCACTGGCAGCGCAGCTGGAGTTCCTGGACCACACCTTGGCAACACCTGTTCTTGGCTGTCTAGTGTCTGCCAGTTGGAGGTCTAATATTCAGTGTCTCATTCTCCTGATGACTGTGGAATAATTTTTCCATGTATGGTCCTCTCCTGTGAAGTAGTGATTAGTGTCTTTTGCCCATGTTTGATAAGTTGTCTTTCATTGATGCATATGGTCTCTGTGTGTGTTCTGGATGTCAGCCCTTTGCATATGGTACGCAACATTCCTACCAAATTTGTGCATTTTCTTCTGTAGTTGTGTTGAATGTGCTAATCAACTTGGAGAAAACTTGCATCTTTTCCATGTGTTTTCCCAGTCAGAAGCATTATATGTCTCTCCATTGATTATGCTTTCTTATTGTTTGTTTCTAGACAGTTTCTCTGTGTAATAGCTCTGGCTGTCCTGGAACTCACTCTGTAGACCAGGTTGGCCTTGAACTCACAGAGATCCATTGCTTCTGCCTCCTGAGTGCTGGGATTAAAGGCGTGCGCCACCACCACTCCCTGACTTTAATGTCTTCAAATGTCTTTCTTTAATGTCTTCCAATAAACACAGTTTTCCCTATGAAAGCCTCATGTCTTATATTAGATTTCTCTGTAGGAATTTTATATATGTGTGTTTTGTTTAGTTTGTTTGATTCTCTGTGTAGCCCTGGCTGCCCTGGAACTTGCTTTGTAGTCCAGGCTGGCCTCAAATTCACAAAGATCTGACTGCCTCTGCCTCCTGAGTGCTGGGATTAAAGGTGTGCGCCACTACACCGGGCACTTTTTAATTTTCATCTGCTCATTATGGATGTTTTGTTTCTTATCCTTATTTTACTACAGTGATAGGTAGAGTGT